AGTAGAAAATCCGTAAATGACCCAGCATACCCCCACACGGAGCAAAAACTGCACCCACATTCAGATGTTCCTGGCATCTTCTAACTCGCCCAAAGCCAGATTTATTGCTCCCGCTGAAAGTGTATCTGCTCTAAGCCTCGCTTAAAAGCTACCACTTGGCAGAAGATCAAGTTGGAAGTGCAGGATAGCAGGTGATGGCGAGGGTAGGAGGGGGTGGGGAGGGCGGGGCGGAGCTAATAATTGAAGCTCCGAGAACTACCAGCTCAATATTTAACCTAACTGGTAATTTGCTGTGACAATTATGCCACAAACGGAACACTAGTACTATGCAAGAATGTTGCTCGCTAATTAAGAGGGCTCTGCTTTTCCTAGCCACCCGCACTTTAATAACACACACAAAATGAGACTTGGCTCCAGGAGCCAAAGGTTCGATTAGGAGGCATGTGCAGCACGCAGCTGCGGCATGCACATCCACCCGTGGGTGACGCCGCCGGGGTAAGCCTGCTAACACCTTCGATTCTCCCTCAGATGAGAAGGGAGCAGAGCGCTGCAGGCCGCCCCCCCCCCGCCCCCCAGCGCCGGTCCCCGCTGACTGACAGGCATCTTCCCGGAACACCTGTGCGTGTCTCTACTGCAAAGCGACCCGCTTTCCCCACAGCACCGCTCTCCAACCACGGAGGCTTGGCGTGGGTTTTATCCTTAAAGAGCAACTTTACCAAGGGCTTTCATAAAAATAAAAGTCCGCGGAAAGGAATTTTCCTCTCAAAGATGGAGAGGAAGACAGAAACAGAAACACACAGACACACGCACACACCCCTACCCGCTGGCGGAAAGACAAAAGAATATTATTAACATCATAGCTATAAAGAAGGATGTTGCCATCTTCTAAATTGACTGCTAGATTCACGGAACGTGGCTAAGCAAGACAAACCATTTTCTGCTTAATTAGTGGCTCCTTTATGGAAGGTTTGCAGCCTGGAGAGAACCCATTAGAGCAGGAGAGCTCATTTACGGAGATGCACCTTCTAAGCTATTGGAATTTAAAATAAATAGTGGAGAAGGAAGTGGTGGAGGTGGGCGTAGGGGTGCTACGCAGGAGGCAGGAAAGCTTCCACAGAAGACGAGCTCTGCATTCCAAGCCAAAGTGCTGGGGAGATCAGCTTTCCTAAGCACACATAGAAGCCTCTGAAATTTTAGGCCAATAGGAATGACCTCTGTGCCATGGCTGACTGAAGATATAAATAAACTTCAACATGAACAGCAGTGTCACCTGTGAGACGAGAGATGAGAGTCCAATTGGGGCTTTTTTTTTTTTGAAAGTCCAGGCTGTTCTGACTCCGTTTCAGTGGATGGCACTCAGGAGCACAAAGCTGCCGCTCCCCGTGGCAAGCCCCTGCCTCACCAGGCGCCAGCCCCTCGGTTACCTAACCGTTGCGAGGAAGCTGCACCACACACAAGTTAAATATAGGCTGAGTTATCTGCATTTTACAAGCACCAAGAAAGTTATCTGAGGAAGCTGTCATTTTTAATGACAGCACAAACTTCCAATTACCAAGAGGGTAATACACTAGGGAGCAGGGATGGTTTTATAAGAATGACTCACAATTATTAAAAGTGTACACGATTACTTTTGAATCGGCTATAAATACTTCCCATGAGGCAGGTGGGATTAATTTTGCAAGTGGTCTATATTCAAGGCTGAAAAAAAAAAGATTGTTTTTTTCAAAATCCTGTTCTTTTGAGATTTATCAATAGCTAAGAAGCAGGGGCTACAAAACGACAGCCACGAAGAGCCTGGAAAAGCTGGGAGGTTGTAAAAATGGCCAGGGGGTTGGAGTAAAGTCTCAAGTACAAGTTCACTGGCAAGTCCCAACGCCAAGAGTCAGGGGTCTGGCAAGAGAGAATACAAGTACAGAGCCCAGTGAGGAACTCGGTTTCCTTTGTACCGTCCACCTAACTCCCACGGCCTCTACACAGCTTCACTTGTTAGTGCTACATACAGAACGGCTATCACCAGGGGTGGCACACATTTCCCACACAGGTCAGACGCACCTGACCTGAGCAAAGGCAATTCGCGTGTCTCAAATCACCCAATTCTTGGTAAATTCTCTCCTGATGACTTTCGTTTCCAGTGGCCTCCCCACTTATTAAATTTTAATTTGACTTGTGATACTACTACTACTTAGCTCCAAATAGACCCCAGTTCTTGGGTATCAAGAACAAGGGTATCTTGATTTAAAATCACTAGAAAGAGAGCAGAACAGGTGGTCGATGAAGACAAACAAGACATACTTTTCGCAACGACTTAACAAAACCACCAACACAAATGTAATTACAAGATTTAACAATCGTTAACTAATTGATCTAAAGAATCAGGTTGACTTCTAAAGCAAGTCAAATGTGTTCTCAAGAGGCCATTTCTGCCACAGTCGCAGAAAACGAGAGGGTTTGGGCTTCTTCCCAGGCAGAGCCGCACTGTGTGGTAGGTGTGACCAACCACCCATGGCTCCAAAGCCTTTCCCCCTCCTCCCCACATTAGTCTGCCTGCTGCTGCTCCAGAGGATTCTGAGGCCTGCTCGGATTGCCTGCCAGCCCTTGATGGTATACAGAGTTACAGGAGTTATCACTAGACTAAGGCAAAGGAAAAGCAATCAGAGACCCAAGAGAGCAGGAGGAGCAGGCATATACATGCTCTCAGTCCCACACACAAAGGATAAAAGCTCGAAATCATCAAACACTGAGCGTAGGGTAACAATTAGAAAGTACAAGCATCCAGCAAGTGAATTGGCTCAATAAATTTACACATCCCTATAGCCAAATACCAATTAAAATTGTGTGGGTCTATTTTTATTGAAATAGAATGTCCATGCTAGGAGAAAATTATGCATAGTATAATGCCCCTCCCTTTTTAAAAATCAAAACTATACTTATATGCATAGAAAAAAGTAGTCAGCTACACAAGTGATTCTTGCTGACTGGTGGGATTATGGGTAATTTTATTTTTTCTTATCTGCAGGTTTTCTACAATGAACACGAATTACTTGCATAAGAAATAATGATCGAAACAGTCCCCATTTCTTTCCTTTAACAGACATTAACAATACTTAACATCAGCTTAATAATAAAATATGCTCACTCAGTAAGAGTGTTTATAAAAGCCAGAACTCTACCAACAGAGTGGATTATAAATCTAAGAGCTAACAACCACATAAAAAGGGGGCAGGGAAGAAACCCTCTCTCTGAGATAAGGAAACAATCAATTTACTAGGGGAGCAGTGGCCTCCTAACAAGAGAAGGAAAGGAGACCAAATAACCTGTTTCATTTTCTATAAATAAAACCTTGGAAGGCGTATTGCCAAAGAAACACAAGTCAATACAAACCTTTATATGCTGGGCTGCTGAACTTCACTTTTAGACAGTATATTAATTATGTAGTCAATAGCCATGGGTTTCATTAGTGTATTAAATACCATGATCAATATTATTTATCCTTTTTGAAGACAGTCCACTCGTGGGGGAAAAAAAAAAAAAGTAGGGGAGGGGGAAATTTTGACCCTGAAGTTCAAAAAAGCCAGAACAGCACACCAGAGATCAGCAAGGCTTTAATGGAAAGCATAAAACACTAAAAATATGGACAGAAATCTGATTATTACCCTTTTATTTTTTGTTGCCTCCTTCACAATGAGACTGGAGGGAATCCAAGAACCATTTAAAATGAAGGCGAAATGATTAGATTTTTTCCCTAATTGCTTAACGCTGATGTCATGGCGTACACAAAATAAGCATCGATCTGTAAGTGAAAGATGAGGAATAGAGTAACATGAACAGCCTTTTGAGTAAACTATATCCAAGAGAATTCTAAGAACAGTGGACCAGAATCTATTTAGGCAATCCTCGGGGACCTAAATCTCTTAAAAGCATAACAATGGAGCCAATTTCTGATGTTCCTCTACTGGTGATCTGGTTTTTAGGAGGGAAATCTGCTAAACATCCTCCGTAGAGGGAGCTGCCCTCCCAAGCAAGCTGGTGGGCTGCTAATCACACCCGGGTAGAGACGCTGGACTCATCACGCGGTCACTGTGCGGTGACTGGTAACTCCTGAGCCGCATCATGGTAACACTGCCAGTAGAAAGAAACTTGGGGGACGGAAATGCTGGGAGTGGTAGTTATAGAAGACTGGTTATGGGACTGAAAGCTAGATGATCATTTCCAACCCACCATGTGTCAATGCAGAATAGTGCTGAAGATTTAATTTTCTAGCCAGTGCTTTATGAACAATGTCAGGCAGAAAAGAACTTCCACAATAATCACTGAGGCCTCAGCCAGAGACTCGAGCGCAGACCAGTGACCATCTTCAGAGACCAGAAGGTGTCTAAACAATTAGTGGGCCCGAGAAAAAGACCGGTTGTCTGTTCTGAACAGTGCGAGCCACCCTGCCTGGAGCCACTAGCGTCTCCCCAAGGGAGATGGCCAAGGATGAGACAGACAGGGTACCGTCACTAGGGCTCCACAGGCTGGACCTGCACAAATCAAAACCCAAGTCCAAACGCTGCCTGGGTACGTGGAGAGGGAAGTGCAGCAAATGCCAAGCGGTGGGCTGCCGTAACCGGATAGATAATTAATATGATTAGGAACACACAGAGCAAGCTTGCTCTTGCTGACTGAAAAGCCCAGTGGCATAATCACTGTTTTCTCTCCAGCTCACTCTCTGTACACATTTCAAAGGCTGGTTGGTGTTAGACTGCTGTGTAAACATCAATAAAATCCCAAAGTGCCGGATCATCAGCATTCTTGGGCACAGTGGCTTTTTGTCTGTAGTGTTTTCATTCTTTTAAAGATGCATTTCAGGACTGCACACATTAGGAAGAATGATCTCTGGTGCCTTGGACAAATGTTCAAGTTGGTAATGAGTTAACATCTCCCCCAAGTGAACATTTGTTATGAAGGCTAATTAATTGCTTTCCAGTTAGAAGAACCCTCAGCATTCAAAGAAAGCAGGATTCATAGGCAAAGAATATACTCTTTATTAAAACAAAGCAAAGGAAACAAAGGGCTACTCCCTTCAAAATCTCCCTTATTTAATACAGCTTTATCAAGGAATATGTACAGGTACAAAGCGCATCTGCCAATTGAAATGCAACAGTAATTTAAGTGAAAACTAAAGCCGTGCTTTGTAGTTGCCTGGGTGTCCCTAGGGGACAGCAAGTCAATGCTTATCGGCCTTCCTCAGAAGAGACGATTCTGATTAATATCAGACCCATCTGACTTGCTCTATTAAACCCTGGAGGAAGGATATTCTTCAGATACGAAAGATAGGTCTTTGATTAATAATTCTACCCACTGCCATTCTGAGCATAACCAACTGTGTGGCACCTCTAGCAAGAGCGCCTTTGGATTCGAGGAAGACACCCTTGCTGAGACACCCAGGTTCCACGCGACCACTGCTCGGCTGTCCCTCCTGAGCAGGAGCACAAGTTGTGAGGGTGCCACCACTGGAGAAGCAGAAACTCTACTTACAAACTTTATTTCACTGTCTGCAGATACAGGGTCAGTTACTTGGGACGTAATTCCTGCTCAAAGGTAACAATGTCTTAACAAAACCAACAAAAGCCTGAAGACAGAGCGACTGGTACTACACTACCCGCCAACTGACCCCTCGGCCTGACAGTTCACACCACAGCCACTGGCGCCTGGTCTCCTTCGCCTACCAATGGGTTTCAAGGTGCACACAGAGAGGAAATGCTTAGTCTGCCATACGAGGTTCTAGGCACTGTGGAGCTAATGGGAAACTATCGCACGGGGGTGAGGAGAAATCAGTTTCATTTCAGCTTTGTCTTCCAGCTTCTGCCCAATCAGCACTGCTCTGCTCACATTGCTGCATTTCTCCTGATGTTCATGATCATCCTTCTGCTATATTCCCTGTAGTCCACAGGCTTCACGTCCATCACTGTGGCCTTAATTCGAGATTCATCCTTTGAGGAAAGAAAAGCAATGTGTGAGTTGAGGAAAGCCGGTAGCATGACGCAGCGGCGGAAACCCCCTTTGCTTCAGTGGTTCCAACGATCCCGGAAGGAGAAAACACACACGCACACACACGCGCTGGACTCAGAGTTCAGTCATTCCAATAAAGAAAACGCTGTGAGTGAGGGCTGAGGCCAGAACTTCTGGGGCTGGGACAGTGGACAGAAGTCTCCCTTCAACACCGCCCTCGCCATCCTTTCCTCATGTTCCCAAACACTCAGAAACCGAGAATCCAACTGCGATGGACCTTAGCGGGCTTATCAAGTTCAGTATTTCCCTCTACAGAGGGGGAGGTAAGAACCCAGAGAAGACAAGGGACTTGCTTAAAGCCACAAAGCTAGTTCTGAAAGCTGAGTGTGGTGTGGCAGCGGAGGAAGACCTGGTCTGGGCCCCAGCTCGGCGCTGCCAGGGGCAAGCTCTCTGTACTTCACCTTCCCCACCCAAACCACGGAGGGACTGAATGACCCTTCAAATCCCTCCCTGATCCCACCTCACTCAGACATTGTATCACAGACATGTGACTCCTAGTCTCACTCACGGCTTAAAACACATCTATCACCAGGTATGAAGATGAAGGTCTAATAATGAAACAGAAGGAGTTAACCCTGAAACCTGCGGAGACGTCTTCAGGATCCTTCCTCCTCACGTGCTCGTAGAGCAGAACCAGGGCCTCTAGAGGCAGGGCGGGGTGGCGCCCGGGGAGGCGGCAGAGCCTAGCTCTGGGGCTCACACACTTTAGCAGGCTTAGCAATTACTCAACACAGTCGTATTGCTAAGCATGGTTAAAAGCAACGCTCCGCACTTAGATTGTCTAAGTTGGAACCTGACATCTGCCACTTGTTAGCATATGACTTTGGGCAAATTACTTATTCTCTTGTATGTGACATTTTCACTGGTAACATGGAGATAACAATAGTTCTTACATACAGGGTCACTGTCGTCTGTCATGATCTAGTGAGATGATATATGGAAAGTAAAGGGTACAAAACAGTATCTGGCAGGTAGTTAAGTGCTTGATAAATTATGACCACACAACGACATGATATCCTGGGCAATTTAAGGACTTTCCAAGGTAATTCTAACTACATGTGGCCTTTGTTTTACATACTGACTTTAAAACCCAAACCTTGTGGAAGGTACAAGTCCATTATACATATTATCATTCTTCTTCGGCACACAAACAAACACCCCAGGTTGTAACTGAAAAGACCATGTAGCATTTACTCCTCCCAAAGCCTAGTACTGGACAAGACACGTAACCTCTAAGCCCAATTCCTTATCTGAAAACAGGGCCGATAATGGTGCCTCTGTGTTGGGAAGTTGCAGTGAGTCGCACAGGCAGGGTGCCGAGCATGGGGTCTGGCACACGGTAAGCAATGACTCGGACACTGGCACTGTGCGGTGGTGGGTGGGCCACAGCTGGCACCCGCTGCTAACCCTTCTGCAGCCCGGCGACCTTACTTACATTGTAGGTCTCCAGTTTGACCCTGATCTTGAATACGAAAGATCGAAAGTTGGCATTCTGGAAAATTTCCTCAAAGGCCTGCTCATTCTGCAAAAAGAAATACAAAACTTTAGACTTGAATACTACTGAACCATTTGAAAATATTGGACTTTTAAAAAGACTTTGAGAAAAGTTTCTGAGAAAATTATCACCCCATGTTTAAAATTCCTCAGGAATGACTAACCTACAGGTGACATTTCATAAAACTGTTTAAGCAAAAATTTAAGACACTCTGTCTAGGAGTCAAATTCATAGAGACAGGAAACAGAGCAGTGGCTGGCGGGCCGAGGGGCGGGGAAGGGGAGTGGGTGCTCAATGGGACGGTCTCAGTTTGGGGAGGCGACTGGCTCTGGGGCGGGTGGTGGTGACGGTGGCACGGCAGTGTGAATATACAACTTATACTTAAAAATGGCTAAGGTGATAAATTTGTTATGTCTATTTTGTCACAATAAAAACATCTGCACAAAAAACTGGAATACTCCTAGGAAACACATTCCTAAACTTCAAAAGTTTATGATGCAGTAGATCCGAGGCCCAGCACCTTCCTTATAAATTGAGAACTACGGAAAAAAATCCTTCAGACAGAGGTTCAAGTTGCCATATACACTATTTCCGCCTCTGTATTTACAGCCACTGATATGAGGAGCAGGTGCAGACGACAGGCAAAGGGGGCAAGCCGGGGGCAAGCTGGAAAAGCACCGTGCTCTCCTCTTTCTCTCACCCCTCAAACAGTTTAAGCTTCTTTGTTTTAAAAATAAAAAAAGTCTGGCCAACAGAGGGATTAGAGAAAGTACATTAAAAAAGCACACGTAAAATTTATAGTAACTGTATATAAAAAGTTCCTACCAAGGCAAGCCACACGGAATGTAACAATAGCTTTGTTACAAAAAACTCTTGTGTAAAGGTTACTGCACACACAAAAACAAGTCCTCTGGGCTTTTGGATATGTAAACAAAACAATGTGTGAAACCTTCAGAAAGTCACACCAGCCGCCATTGCTCTCCCAAGATGCAGGAAGGCGGGGAGCCGCGCTCCAGGAGGATGGCGGTTCCTGCGGGGAGAGCCTCTGTCCTCAGTCACCGGCAGTAAAAACAGCCAATGGCAATGTGCTCGTAAAACACCCCGAAAGGCTGCCTCAAGCCTTAAAATCTGATATGAAAACAGAGGACCAGGCAAAGCAAATAAAAGATACCATCCTACTTCAGAGTCAATTCCAGTTATTTCTACAAAAGGGCTTGTTGGGATTATTTCCAGAGATCTCACAGACAAAATTTTAGAAAAAGGTGGGGGCAGAGGGACAGAATTGAAGACAGAAAAGTATAAGAAAAACATCCAAATGTCACATCCCCTTTTCTTATACTTTTCCAAGTATTCTAACTGATTTGGAGCAAACTGGGGGGGGGGGGGGGGGGAGAGGGAATCAATGAATAGATGCCAATTTGTGTGGCCCAGAAAATACAGTTTTTATTGGTCCTTTTGACGTGTTTTGAGCCGATATCTTTCCTAAGGTTAGCATAATTAGTAATCTGTTACCTGCATAAAACAAACCTAAAATGTAAAAATTCAAATTTATAAAAGTGAAATGGATCAAGTTAACTTATGAAAAAAAAGTTACTTTGTAAAACTTGCATCTGATGACCTAACACAACAAGCACCTTATCTGGCATTTTAAACCAGGACGAGACTCAACATTTCGGGAACGTGTTTACGTTGCAAAGGCAGCCTGCACGCCGGGCCCTTCGAAGGCGCCCGGACCCCAACCGCCCACTGGTGTGCTCACGGGGGCAGGAGGAGCAGGGCTGCTGCTTAGGCACTTTTGTCTATACTCCTTCATTACCTCGCTGTTAGCAAGTCCCAGACAGACAGAAACAGACGAAAATCAGATGAACAACTCAAATAATCCTCAGATTGAGAACTACATATAACACCCAAAAGAAGCAACCCCTAACCGTTCAACAGCCAGGAACAGGGGCAGTGGTAACACAAGACGGCTGACCTTGTCCTTTAACTCTCCCAGGTGAGCAGTGCTCTGCCCCAGGATGGCCTCTGCAGACTCCTGGAAGCAAGTGACCCACTGGTTGTCTTGATAATCGGCAATATTTACCTAAAAACACAAACTCTATATTATTTCAGCAAAGAAATAATAGAAGAAAGACACACTCAGGAGATGGGAAACCAACTCTTTCCATTCACGAATATAATCACCTGGGAAAAACCCATTACCACCATGTATATATACTATATTCTTTTCAAAGAAAGTGGAAAGTATCAAAGAAAGAGTTTAAAACGTTAAGTCTGGATCAAAGCAGATATACAACGTGCTGCGGATGTGTGAGTTCAGATCTCAGTGGAGACACGGCCCAAGCAGCCTGTCCTGCAGCCCCGGATTCCAGGCACAGTGGACTCGGGCCCCCAGCTGCGATGGCCTGTGGACTAAAGGTCGGAAGGAGCCTCCAACGAGTCCGCGAAGGTTCACTGCACGTGAACTTGTACGTCCCTCAGTCACCGGTAGGGCTCCGCAGGACGGCTCTCAGTCATGCTGAGCATCCCAGGCAATGTAAGAGCCTGCGCTGAGGGCCTTACTCAGCCGCCCAATTTTTACAACAGAAATGAGCAGTCAAGTGTCTCCAGTTGGATCATGGTGTAAAATTAAATAGGGGAGTCAAGGAAGAAAGTGCAGCACAAAGAATCCAGTTGCTAAAAGGAAAAAGTAAGAGGCTCGGAAGAAACAGGAGAGCAAAGGCTTCTTTTTGGTTTTCGTAGGTATCATTTTGATGCTTTTACATATTCGCTTTGCATATGCATGGAGTTAATATACGAAGCTATCATAAAACAGGGAAATGAGAAGATAATAAAGACAAATATAAGGGCACATCACATACTGGCCTCACACCCACACGTCGCCTAGGCTACCCTCCTAGAGGCAAAGGGCACCCACTCTCCAGGGTGAGAACATCAACAGTAAGTAACACATGGGTCAGCACCACGTGAAATCCTGTGCCGACTCCACTTAGAAGTTTAACAGAAAGGCTGATGAAATAAACTCTTTGAAACAATTTTCTTCATTTTAGTTCAATGAACTATATAGTTTACAGAAAATAAAAAGCTGATATATGCAATCTTCCCGCTAAATTAACATTTTTAAGGGGCAATTAAAATATAGAAAGGGTGGGTGGAATGAATTACATTTTTACCTAAAAGATTTTTTACAAAAATTAGCCGTTATAAAAGTATTATTTACTATAGGAAAATGAAAAAAAAACCCACAAAGAAACAAAGAAAAATCAACCAGAAATAACCATTACCAACAGTCCACCTAGTCGGTTCGTTGTCCATATACATAACCCAAGACTATATAAAACATACCATTTAAATTCTGCTACTTTCAATTAATAAAGACTGAACATTTATTTATGCCCTTTAATAGTCTTCTTTTTTTTTTTAAAGGTGATTTTAGAGCCCTGGCAGGTGTGGCTCAGTGGACTGAGCACAGGACTGAGAACCAAAGGGTCGCCAGTTAAGATTCTCAGTCAGGCACAGGCTGGGCTGCAGGTCCGGTCCCCAGTGTGGGGCGCATGACAGGCAATCACACACTGATGTTTCTTTCCCTCTCTTCCCCTCTCTCTAAAAATAAGTAAATAAAATCTTTGAAAAAAATTGATTTTACAAAGAGGGGAAGGCAAGGAGATAGGGAGAGAAAGATTGATGTAAGAGAGAAAGGAAACATCAATTGGGTTGCCCCTTATATGCACCCTGACTGGGGATCAGTATCAAAACCAAGGCATGTGCCCTCACCAGGAATTGAACCTGCTGTTTTCAGGACAATGCTCTGACCAACGGAGCTACACCATCCAGGGTTTACAGTCTTCATTAACATTGATTTTAAATACTTTAACTGTGGAAACTATTGAACAGTAAATTGTTAACACTGGTTTTCTAATATTTTAACTGTGGGAACTACCAAACAGCAAATTCTAATTTCTTCATGATACTCCGTTGTATAGATATTCAATAAAGGAATTAACCAGTAGAATATTAAGGGCATTTAAGCTGTATCCAGCCCTGGCTGGTGTGGTTCAGTGGGTTGAGCACCACCCTGCAAACCAAAGGGTCACTGGTTCGATTCCCAGCCAGGGCACAGGCCTGGGTTGCAGGCCAGGTCCCCAGTAGGGAGTGCGCAAGAGGCAACCACACACGGATGTTTCCCTCTCTCCCTTCTTTTCTGTCTAAAAATAAATAAATAAAATCTTTAAAAAAAAAAGCTGCATCCAAGTTTTCAAAATAAGTAATGGTAATAGACAACTTTACAGAGATGTAACATGTCTGATTCTTTTTAAAAAGATTTTATTTATTTATTTTTAGAGAGAGAAGGGAAGGGAGGAAGAAAGAGATGGAGACAAACATCAATCTGTAAAAGATGCATCGGTTGCCTGTCACATGCCCCCAACTGGGACCTGGCCTGCAACCCAGGCATGCGCCCTGACTGGGAATCAAACCAGTGACCCTTTGGTTCGCAGGCTGGCACTCAGACCACTGAGCCACACCAACCAGGGCTGATTGATTGATTATTTATTTTAAAGTTTATTTATTTATTTATTTATTTTTAGAAGGTAAGGGAAGGAGAGAGGGAGAGAAACATCAATGTATGGTTGACTTTCGTGCGTCCCCTGATGGAAAATGGCCCGCAGGGAACTGGTCTGCAACCCAGGCATGTGCCCTGACTGGGAATCGAACCGCGATCCTTTGATTCGCAGGCCTGCGCTCTAGCCACTGAGCTACACCAGCCAGGGCTTGATTATTTCTTTAGAAGAAATTCCCTCCAGGTGTTTACTGTGTCAGAAAATATAAATATTTTTAAGACTTCCAATATATTACTGCCAAATCATTATCTAAAAAATGAGAGTGACTGTTTTTTGGTACCTTTATCATTTACTGTAACTTTAAAAACCACTCACCCTCCATTTTAAAGGTTTAGAAAACCTTTAAAGAAACAATTCTTACAGTGCAAAAAAGCCACAGTCCCACACCAGCATGCAGTCACATTCCTCTGAAGTCAGCTCTGCTAGGGCTAGAGGAACAGATGACCCACAAGAAAAATAACTAAATACAGGCATCAGCTGCACGTGTAATTACTGCTCTCCAGAAATGCCATTTCAAATTAATTTATCTCCATAACAGTGAGCAGGCGAGTGCCACCAATGCTGTAATTGTACCACATGCACAGCAGACTGAAATTAGCTGAGTATCTAAATGTAACTCTGGTATGAAAAAATGCTTTTAGTAGGAGCAGACAGCCTGCTATTCAATCGAAAGGGCCCCTACTTTTGTATTTATGGAGCAATAATAAGCTCTTTAGCACTTATTCATGAGCTTGTTTTGCTGTTTCTATAGTGCCTGGCACTCGGGAGAAACTCAAACACCACAGTGGTTCCCATCTACCCATTCTACTTACTGACAGGATCATGCGGTACTTGAAATTGGGAAATTCACGGTCACATTTCTCACAGCGGTATAATCCATTCTGCTGATCAATCACTTTCTTATTGCAGTCCTGAGTCGGGCAGGCCTGGTACATGGAGTTCTCCTTGCGAAGATACACCACGGTCGCCACGCAGCTGAAATAGTCTGCCTTCAGGAGAGAAGAGCGACAGGGGCACTGAGCGAGCCGCCTGCACTCGGGTCGGGCGCAGAGCGTGCCCTCACGCGCGGGCGTGTCCACGTTCTCACCACAAGGTGATTTCAGGGAGTAAGTCGTTCTCCGGCTTTAGAAATCACTTGTGCTAACCATAAAACCCTTGAAAAGGTAATAAATCAAGTTCCAAAGCATATAATTCCCTAACAATAAGAGTTAATTCTGAATTAAACGAAATTAATTAAAACTGAAATAGAGTATGTGAAAGGCAAAGGCTTCACGAGACAAAGACTCGCCCCCGTTCCTGACCCCCCACAGGTGAAAGCGCTGGGAAGCGCAGTGCGGGGCGGTAGCAGCTAATGCGCCGGTGTTCAAACGCCCCCTGCACTTAAACAGCAGAGACTTCCGGCCAAGAAGGCACAGGCAGCCACGCTGCGCCTCCTCACACAACCAAAACAAGGACAACAACAATTCAGAAACAAAAAACAACCAGAACTGACAGAAAAATCAAACTGTATGGAAGTCTGACAACCAAGGAGTTAAAGAAACATCCATCCAGATGGGTAGGAGGGGCACAGAGAGGACTCAGGCAAAGTGGCAGTGGAAGACGTGATGGACAAGGCAGGGGCTGGTGGAGATAAACTGCAGATAAACCAGGAGAACAACTGGGGAGTGAGACAGACCGGGCAACCTAGAGCTCCAGCTCGGAGAAACAGCCTCACATCAATGGTTAAAAACACCTGTGGAGGTTGAGGTGTTGGGAGAGACTCCCAGCCTCACAGGAGAGCTCGTTGGGGAGACGCACAGGGTCCTAGAACGGACACAAGCCCACCCACTCAGGAATCAGCACCAGAAGGGCCCAGGTTTGCTTGTGGGAAGTGGGGGAAAGGACTGAAAGCTGGTGGAGTACGTGCCATTTCCCTCTCGGACCCCTTCCCCACATACAGCCTCACAACCCAGCCATGTGTGTTACCCCACCCTGGTGAACACCTAAGGCTCCACCCCTTACTACTTAATAGAGTGTCAAGACAGGAAAAAAAAAGGCCCAAACAAAAGAACAGATCAAAGCTCCAGAACAAATACAACTAAGTGATGAAGAGATAGCTAACCTATCAGGTGCACAGGTGCAAGATGCACAGTTCAAAGCACTAGTGATCAGGATGCTCACAGAATCGGTTGAATTTGGTTACAAATTAGATGAAAAGCTACGATAAGTGAAATAAAGAAAAATATACAGGGAACCAATAGTGATGGGAAGAAAACTGGGACTCAAATCAAGGGAGTGGACGAGAAGGAAGAAACAACCAAACAGGAAAGAATGAAGAAACAAGAATTTAAAAAAATGAGGAAAGGCTTAGGAACCTCCAGGACATCTTTAAATGTTCCAACATCCAAATTATAGGGGTACCAGAAGGGGAAGAGGAACAGCCATGAGTGGAAAACATATCTGAACAAATAATAAAGGAGAACTTCCCCAATCTGGCAAAGGCAATAATAGACTTCCAGGAAATCCAGGAACCTCAGAGAGTCCCAAAGAACTTGGACCCAAGGAAGCACACCAAGGCACATCATAATTACATGAGCCAAGATTAAAATGAAGGAGAGAATCCTAGAAGCAGAAAGAGAAAAGGAGACAGTCACCTACAAAGGAGTTCCCATCAGACTGTCAGCTGATTTCTCAAAAGAGACCTTACAGGCAAGAAGGGGCTGAAAAGAAGTATTCCAAGTTATGAAATCCAAAGACCCACAACCAAGATTGCTCTATCCAGCAAAGCTTTCATTTAGAATGGAAGGGCAGATAAAGTGCTTCTCAGATAAGGTTAAGTTAAAGGAGTTCATCATCACCAAGTCCTGATTATATGAATTGTTAAAGGGACATATCTAAGAAAAAGATAAAAAATATGAACAGTAAAATGACAGCAAACTCACAGTTATTAACAACCACACTTAAAAGAAAAACAAAAGCAAACTAAGCAAACAAGTAGAACAGGAACAGAACCACAAAAATGGAGATCACGTGGAGGGTTATCAACGGGGGGGGGGGGAAGGTTCAGAGAATAAGTAGCATAGATGGCAGGTAGAAAACAGACAGGGGGAGGGTAAGAATAGTGTAGGAAATGTAGAACCCAAAGAATTTATATGAACGGCCCATGGACATGAACTAAAGGGGGGAGGGCGTGTGCAGGACACAGGGGAGTGAAGGGGGGGAAACAGGACAACTTTAATAGCATAATAAAATATATTTAAAAAAAAAACCCAGCAGAGATTCTAGGGCTCAGGTTCACTTTTATCCTTGTCTAGGCTAGGGGTCAGTGTAGTTGCAGCTACTGAACTCTGCTATTATGGGCCAAGTGTCCACAGACAATGTGCTGCAAATGAAAACATGTGGCTATGTTCCAACAAAACGTTATTTACCAGAGGCAGCAGGCTGGATTTGGCTGATGGGCTGGTTTGCCACGCCCTGGCCTAAGTCATCAAATTCAGAAGAATGCAAAAATAACAGAACAAGGGCATTCAAAGTGGAGAAATCACTGATGAGTAAATGCAGCCAGGACTAAGTCACGTGCTGCGGCTTTATGTTGTTGCTTTTCATTTTGCTTTTTAACTTGCATAGAAAGGATGTGAAATGGACCCTTTTTTTGGGGGGACAGTTCCCTCTGGGCATATTCTGAATTCAGAGCCTCTCGGAAAGAGGCAAAACAATGACGTGGACGATTAAAGAGCCTGGACGAGTCTTCAAGCTAGAGAAAAGTCTAGCTGGACAGAAAGTCTCCTGGGAGAATGCCTAGAGTTTCTCTGTATTTCCACATAAGGTCCAGATTCAAAGCATGACTTGAAAGTCTGGGTGCAAACAGGGGCTCCCTAGGCCTGATTTCTTATTATAGACCATTGCATCTTAGATAGAAATTGGGTGACAAGAGAACCCAAAGAGTGGCTGTTCCTCCAACAGGACGAACAGACCTGTCCAATGCTCCGTCTTCAAGGGGCTGTGTAACAGCCTTGTAAGCTGCAGCTGCTGACAACAGGTAAGGGAATACAGCGAAGTGAGACAGCGAGGAGTAAAATCCATACCGTATAGTACGAAAATAACAAAGCAGGACCTGCTGTTTTGGGGAAGCATAAGGAGTGAATAAATAATCTAAATGTTAAATTGTGGCTCTGGCTGGTGTAGCTCAGTGGATTGAGCGTGGGCCTGTGAACCAGACAATCTCGGTTTGATTCCCAGTCAGGGCACATGCCTGGGTTGCAGGCTGGTTCCCTGCAGGCCAGTTCCCAGCAAGGGATGCACGAAAGGCAACCATACATTGATGTTTCTCTCCCTCTCTCCTTCCCTTCCCCTCTAAAAATAAATAAATGAAATCTAAAATAATAATAATAATAATAATAATAATAAATAAATAAATGTTAAATTGTGGGCACAAATGAGAGGAGGGTCATTCCTTACAACACCGAAGGGAAGCTGCAACTAAAGTCAGATGCCAGAGCCAGTTCTCGTCAGAGGTACTGGCGGCTCTCAGCCCAGGAGAGTTCATATTCTCCAGCCAGTGAAAGTCCAGGCGAACTGCCTGCTGTGTGACACGGGGCCTGACAAATGCTCCACGTGAGCTCCGTATGTGACCTCGAAACCTCTGCTCTCGGCAAGGGGGCATTTCCATCTGCAGGGACAATCACAGAGACGAAATACAGACCCAGAGGCAGTTTCCATTATAACACATGGCCCGGTCATGGCCACTTTGTTAAGACCCCTCTAAGAATTAAACAGCGCTCTAAGTCAGAGTTGACATCTGTTGGTCTACCGGAGGCACACAACGTACTTCTATTGGGAAGCATGGCCACCACACCACGTTCTGGTCAGAGCCCCAGTTAAGAATCACGGCTCTGCATTAATGTCTGACAGCTGGCAGCAGAAATCAGACTTGAAAACGCATCCTTCTGCACACTTTACGTGCTTTTGTGAAGAAAGTTAGGAATGTAAGATACCTTGTCACCTTGGCCCAGGTTCTCCGATTTAACCTCATACAAAGTCTTCCAGTTGGTGGCGCTTCCCGTCCCTCCACTCCTTAGATCTGAGATGGAAACACCATCTAATGCTTGTCCTTCTGAGTCGAACCTGAGAAATAAACAGTGACGGGCACTTTATATACTTACTGAATATGTCACTCATTTTTTTAAACCATTCTTAAAAAAAAAAAAAAGATTTTATTTATTTATTTTTAGACAGATAGGAAGGAGAAGAGAAAGAAACATCAATATGAGGTTGCTTCTCGTGTACCCACACATGTGCCCTGACTGGGAACCAAACCTGCGACCCTCTGGTTCACAGGCCAGTGCTCAATCCACTGAGCCACACCAGTCAGGGCGTCACTCATTTCTTTATGCCAAATACAGGCTATCCACTCCCTCACCCAACTTTCATAGGTCACAGTCTCATAGGCTGCAAGTAGTGTCTTCTTCATTGTTTCTTTTGCCTAATGAAGAAACCGAGTGACCTCTTTCTATCAGTTGCTTTGATGCCCCCCAGTGGTCAGGAAAGACAGTGCCAAAGTACCACAGAACCTTTTCTTAAATTAGCCTTGCACAGCAACACTGGCCCAAGGGCCCAAGAAACAGTAACCTGGACAATCAGCAACAAAAAAGCCATAATGTAGAGCTCCAGTATAGTTCTTTGGGCTACTGATTCTTACCCACTATCAGCAGCTGCGTTATTTATTTATTTTTTAGTAACTGCATTCTTTATCATGACTGGAATGTATCAGTATGGAAAGTGACAATCAACACACTGTAATGGTAGCCACCCCCCCAAAAGTTCCCACGCTGAGAGCTTTTAAGCCTGATAGAGTCCAAAAGATTATATAACCCCAAGTAATTTACTAAAAGGTATTACCTGTTTTCTTGTAGCTTTATTAGTGAGATTTTTTAGTTATATAACATTAAAGTTAAAATTTATTTGTATTTATTATTAAAATTGATTATATTTCTCGATCATGTATCAGCCAATATGAGGAAAGGGGACCAGGGCGAAAGTGGCTCAGAAACACATCTGTGGCAGGGAAGAGTGTCTCTGAGATTCAAAACACGTTGATGTCACCCAAAACGAGGATAACTAAACACTAAGCACATCCAGAACAGGAGCCTTAAGAAGAGCCCATCTGAAGGAATGGATGCCGCCTTGAGCCGCAGACAACTGCCTTCTCGTTCCTTCAGGTAAGCGGCTAAATCCGTCACAGAGGCACAGCAAGGTCCATAAATCTGTTTTGCCACGACTAGCTACACGAGTTTACGATTTCAAAAACTCCAAGGAGACATTTGCCACCAAAGGCAACTCATCAGGAGTCAACAGAGCAAGGAGCGAGGCAGCCCTTCTCACAGTAAAAATCCCACATTGTTACAACCAAGATCTAAACATCTGCAATCCTTGCCTAGTGGGTTGTGTGCACTGAACCTCTTTGATCAATGCCCAGTTATTTTATTTTGGAGACAGCCATGTCTTTTTATGTTGACCAGGATGACAGCTATTGACAGGTAAAATATAAAGACCTTAATGTGGGCATGCAATTAACCTGGGGTCGAGCTCCAGAGCCTGAAAGAAAAGCAAGCAACCAGGACCCAAAGCTGCGGTTATTTCTGGTCAGACTACTAACAAGCCCCTTGTCTTCTAATATAATGTCAGCGACCAGAGCAGTTAAATGTGGATACATGTGGGCCATACTCATGAGAATGGCTTAAGTGACGTGAACACTGCAGTAGATGTTTCCTGAAACTATTCAAATACTAGTGCTACTGTTTCATATTAGACTCAGAATAAAAGCAGGGTGGATGTAATGCGAGCTAATTCATTAGTCCCTTAAGCCCCAAAACATAACTGGAAACTGACGCACTTTCCCCTGTGACTACAGTCACACAAATTATTTAAGCTCAAGCTAAAGTGTTCTCCTTGACCACATCAATTCCTGCATACCATGTTTCAGTTTGAAGTGCTCTTCTGAGGCAGTTTTAACACCCTAGAAAGCCAGATATAGCGAGGAGATTTTAATAGGCTCCCCTCATCGCCTGAGTGCTTTGGGAATAACAATAAAATGCCACAAAAGCCCATTGTTCTCATGGCACTTCATCGGAGTCCAGTGAATGCACACTGGAGGATGCGATCGGCACCAAAGACTGGACAGAACAGAGAGCACGTTCTCCCCCCACAGCACAGTAGGCCGCGGCTTTAAATCTGGGAGAGACAGATGCCTGCAGCACACAGCTGCTAAAGCCGGCCTCATCCTGCTCCGGCAGGGTGGGGGTCGGCAAGCAGCGCTTCCATCCTAATGGCCTCCTCCTCTGAGTCTCCGAGTTTGTCAAGGGCTTACAGGTTTGTCAGTTTAAGGGCTTTAAAGCCATCCTCTCCAAAGGCATAATGCCCCCAAGAAATATGGGAACGGCACCATTTGGTAACAAAGCCCTGTGCTTGGCGGACGGCCCGCATACTGATTATAAGAACCCCCAAACCCAGTGTTTCTCAAAGCCCAGGCTCTAGCGGCCCCCTTATTCAGCCCCGTAACACCTACCATCCACGGAGCTTATAGGCCTCTGGGATGTCAGGATTCACAATGACTGTGCTTGACGACAGCACAGAGAGGCTCCGTCCGCCAAAATCGGACACTCTGGCTCCTTTGATAGCCATCACGGGTTGTCTAGAACCATCAAATTTGTCAGCCTGCATCACAACAAAAATCCCAAACAAATACGAATGTGTGTCACCGGCAAGAACATTTTTAAAGGAAACAAAGAAAACAGTCAATAGCAGAGTGAAGGCAATAAATGGACAGGGAATCCATACAAGGTAACCTCACACCCAAGAATCTGCTCAGAGAGACATCAAAACTGAGGTAGAAGAAAGAGCATTTCACTATGTGAAACTTAAATCACACAGAAGTAAATCAAATGAAGGATTTCAACTATTCCCTAGACGGGCCGATCCTTCGTTAGGAAGGGTCTCCGGGACACGCTGCCAGTTCTCTGCACACGCTCTGACTGCGAACACGGGTACTCACATCCTCTCCCCACAGAGTGGCGGACACCACCTTCCCTGACGTGTCCATTAAATAGATATTTCTCTTAGACACTTCTCTGTTGTTGGCCTTCACTGTGATTTTTGTGGCATCTTCGTAGCTCTTGCAGATCCCGATTATGTCTGTAACACAGGCACAATGATTCAGCTGGGGCTGGTCAAGCTCCCACAACGGCATCACCAAAGGCTGACCGGCAAGCAGATAGGTCTCACCCCGCACCGGCCGTGTGGCCAACAGAACTGACCATCAGCACTCTTGCTCTCAGACACAGACTTACCTACGAGTGAGTCCTTAGGTCTGCTCTCTAAGTCATCAATCTTTGTGAAATCAAACTGGACTGTAGGTAAGTTACGACCATCTTCACAGGGCATGACAGAAGTCTCATTATTGAAGGTCATCTCATAGTCATTTTTAACAGCCGTGAATTGTTTGTTAGCAATCTTCAGAGTCCCTTTAGAGAAATAATAGACCTGCAAAACAGTTCAAGCCGTGGAACATGGGATAGTCCATCAAACTGGACAGAAAAACCTTTCACCACCATGGAACTCTGCGACGGACGAGAGTCCCCTCACCCCTAACTGCTGTTCCAGTCCCAGACGCAACACCGCCATACCTTGTTCACGTCGATGAGGGGAAAGAACTTGTCCGCTTGCTCATTGAAAGCAGTAGCTCTGATCTCACCCTGTGGATGCACGCAACAGGTTAGAATTGTGGGCTGGTCCAGTTTTGCCAGTGAAAAACAGGACACTTCAGTGTCCACTGACATCTTTAAAGAAACGCACGTTTTACAGTCACATATTCAAGTTATGAACCCCATGAAACAAATTAAGTTGAGTTAGCTGATCTTTTTACTATGCTCTCCTAACCTCAAGTTAGAAACCTAAAAAAATAAAATACAAAAAATCCCCCAACAAACCCAACAGTGTGTTTAACATCCTGACAACAAAAATAAAACAACTCTGAGCACCGAGTGGCACGACCGAAGCCCACGGGGAAGCTGATCCGCAGTGATTCATCAGTTTCCCTCGTGTTTGCATTAGGCAAGGAATTAGTCCATACTCAGGAGTCACTGCCAAAAATGTCCCAGCAAGTCACGTTTTCCAGTTGCTTGTGATTCGCTTTTCACTTTTACTTTTCATCTATCAAAATGTCACAGATGAATAAAAAACTGAAATAAATGGGTGAAATTTTTGCCAACTGACAGAACAGGCCAATAATTTGGTAAAAAATTAGGTTCTGGTATGGATGTAGGCGTTACAGTCAGTACAGGGATGGGCAAAAGTAGGTTTAGGGTTGTGAGTGTGTGAAACTCGGGGTTGATCTGGTATTATTATTGCATCAGAATAATGATGGCAACGCCATTCAGGTCGTGCTGCTCCTCGGCCTTACCCTTGTACACCTGGGGTGTCATTCCATCTTCTAAGAACAAAAAACAAAAACAAACCACTGCCTTTTTTCTGCCATTAAGAGATTTGGATAAATAGAAAATAAACGGCAATGTGAAGTCCTTGAAGTACATACAGTACTAGGAATTATAAACAAAACTAAGGGACAGAAGAGAAACAGCGAACAAGACTGTGGAGATTCCACGACTCGGATTTTTGGTCTCCTCGTCGTGGTTTGGCTTTGTCTGAGTAAGGCACGGAGAGCCTGCACGGTCAGAACCACTCTCACAAAACCGCTCACTTACCAAGGTGGTGCCTTCCACTGTGGCTCCAAGCGCCACTTTGCTCGTAAGCACACACTACCACCTCCTACAGCTTCGACTAAGGCCGCCAGTGAGTCAGAGCATCTCTGGTCTCTCCTGCCCATTAGGCGACTTATACATGTCAAACACTGTTACAAATGCTTTTGTTTAAGGTCAAGGATTTCATTTATAACCTTTAAGCCCGTGCCCCCAGACAGCATCAAAAGACAACAAAAGAGGAAAACTACAGTAACAATCATGGTTCTTTTTGGCCTACTACTGTTTTCCAGCCCACTGGCCGGCACAGAGGTGTGGCTTCTGTTGCCCCGTCAGCTGCTCCTACTTCCCTGCTCGGCAAACACTCACACTTTCATCAACTAGTTCTATAGAGAAAAGCTTCCCTTCCCCGCGGGAGTTGCTCCAGGTACGGATCTGACTCTTGTTGGTGACTCGAGCACAAATAGTCCACCTGAAAACCAAACAGGTCGTATTAGCATTTGAGTCTCGCCGGGAAAAGATCTGAAAGGTTCCCCAACATCTTCTTACAGCCTTTCTTGTCTCCCGCGTACTCCACTTTTTAATGTAAGCTCTATTTTAATCTACCTAATTAAACCCAAAGCTGACATAAAGGTTTGACAGTTTATAGAATAAGCAAATAGTAAAACATACCAGGTGATTTAACACTAACTCATTCTCTTGTCAAATAAGTAAATTTATAAACTCTCTCCCTTGTCTAGAAAGCATCACCAAGGCAACAATATCCCCTTAATGAAAGGTTTGAAGCTAGAAACACAGTAATACCAACAATTATATTTTGCCACTATTTTCATTATGGGAACTGGTGTCAAACTTCAGTCTCATTTCTAACACACACTGAAGAGAAATACAAGCTTATGGAACATGGTGCTGGTAAGCTGCCAAAGCAAAATGCACCGAAGCAGCAGGGACTCAGAAGCTACTAAAATAGGAGGCACGAGACCGGACGCCCAGTTCTGGTGCCCATCCTACACACAGGCACTGGGTACCTTAGTTACTTTACTTACAATTTCATAGGGGAATCATATATCTTTCCTACACTGCAAAGAATGGAAGACTACAACTGGTAAATTAATTTTTAATGGAAAAAAGTTATAAAAATGATCTCTTTGAGGTATATTAATGTAAATACACGTAGAACAGATTCTTCAAGCCAACTCTATCAAGAGCAACGCTTTTGGACTAACAGTCACCTATTTATACAATGAGAAGATAAACACCTTCTGAATTAGAATATTTAGTTTTATGCATAAGACTACCAACTTATTCTTTCAGCATTAAGAAATTTTTAAAATATTTTATTTATTTATTTTTGAGAGGGAAAGGGAAGGAAGGAAAGGAGAGAAACATCAGTGTGTGGTTGCCGCACCCGCCCCCCCCCGCTGGAGACCTGGTCCACTACCCAGTCTTGTGCCCTGACAGGGAATCAAACTGGTGACCCTTTGATTTGAAGGCTCAATCCACTGAGCTACACCAGCCAGGGCTCAGTAATAAATATTTTAAATTTCAAAATGAATGAAGCTCAATAGGTTATGGCGGATTGTTCTTTTGGCCACCCTTATCTGATAAGGCAGTTAAAGTGAGGGAAAAACAAAAAACAAAAAAGAGGAAACCTATTTTATGTGTGGTAAGAGTTCACACATAAATAAGACAAGAGCCCCTCTTATACTATTTTGAAGTACATTCTGAACTTATTCTGTGGAGTAACTCACTTGGATTGGTACGGGGTGAGGCTGGCGATGGGCACCACTTTGGCCTGTGACCCCCCGGAACTGTTCATGAGGCTGGTACCTCCAGCTTTTCCAAATGTCTTTGAGGCACCATAAGGCTTAGATATACTGGAACCTTTAAAACACACACACACACACACAAGGAAGGATGATCATTAGTCTCTTTAAATTGACTCAATTAGGGAGTTGTCACTGGTGAAATAATAACGAAATGAGAGGCCAGATTCCTCCTTTTTAGCATCCAGAGACTGGAAATCAAACAGAGACTGAAACAGGAGGGCCACCAACCTAATCTATAATGAAGGCTGGGCACACTGCTGACTTGTGTCCCGAGGTCAAGATAACATTGGCAATGCTCTTTCAGAGACCCGCCTTCTGAAACTTTTCTCTCGTAATAATGGGCGAGAAGACAAGAGGTCAGAAAAAGAAAATCAACCTTGATTGGTGAAACTGCTGCAAGTCACTAGATGCGTAAGAAGAGCAAAAGGACAGGCCAGAGAGTAAAGGTCGCGGTGGTGCCTGACACAAATGTTCATCACCTCAAAACGCCCCCCGAACAACGCCAATTCTCAGCTGCTCTACGGGACTGAGAAGTACAGAATGAAGTCTGGGGGGGCTGGGTTCACTGGGAGCGAAGGGCAAGAATCTGTCGTTGGTTCACCACGAGCAGGTGGCCGGCTGCCACGACCCCTTCTGCCTCCTTCGCCCAAGTGTGAGCGGCTGCCTCCACTGGGAAAGGATAGTAACGAGAGCGCAGGGACGCCTCTGCGCTGTTTCTGCGGAGCTTCAACTTCCAAATGCAGAAAACACAATTTAGTCCAATGATTTCATATCTTCTCTATCAAAACATTTCTTCCCAATGGAATGTTTCTAGACGTATAAAGCTACCATTATTCAGCATTTATTTATTGGGTTTCCGAAGTAGGTACCACACACTATTCTAGGTATCTATAGCACTTTAGTAAAAAATATACACAGACTGTCCCAGATCTTAAAAATTTCTATTCTAACTGCAGAGTTGAGAGATAGCTATACACAGAACAGTAATAATTACTTCAAGAATATGCAAAGAAACACATGGACTATGCAGAATGTGTGTGTGTGCACACCTAATATATAATCCACAGTTATGTAAAGCACAAACATGCATCGAGTTTTCATGCCAGTACCTTTCCCTTCAGTACATAGCCAGTCTTTTTTTCCCTACTACCCAGCTGATGTGTGTTTAGGAAACATTAACAGGTGTTCACAATTAAATATTAATATAAGCCAAAGACAAACAATTGAGAATATAAATCTGTGAAAGGAGAGATAAGAATAACATGCTACCATTTGGATTTCAGCATAAGGAAGTGACTTTCTGATTGTTTACCATTTTTAGATAATCTAGTCCACCACCTCCCTTCAACAGTAGATATTTGGAGAGTTGTGTATGGAGAGATGCACTTATAAAAAGGCACAGAGAGAGAAAGGAGGTAGACAGCTTCGCAAGGTAGATAAAAGCATCCAAGACCAATGGGGGAAAAGTCATGTCTTAAGTTTCATAGGAACATTACTGACATCATAACTCTGCCTTTTTTAGAATCTGAGCATTGAAAAATGGAAAACAGTCACTGAGGGAGGAGTGGAGGCGGCGTATGTGACGGGAAAAGGGCCCCTAAAGATGAACCAAATTCAACAAATCATCATTTTTCAGTGGTGGCTCCTAAAGCAGAGGCCAGAAGGAAACAATGATTCCATTGCAGCCTCCCAGGACCTGCTGCAGAGGAAGTTAGGAGAAGAAACTATTTCTCATCCATGAAACTGAGAAGCAAATCTATGAACAATATAAATGACACTGTCTACAAGCTAAGATAAATACCCAAGAGCCAGCAATGGGAAACTTGGGGAGACAAGCCAAATTTAATAAGCTGATCCTGGATAGTTAAAAGGCTAGAATTTAAAAGCTATGTAAATTCACAGTCAGGAGGGTATAAAACCTAAGATGTGGAAAACTACCAGAAAAACTATTAACAGAGAACAGTATATCATTCTGATAAAAAAATGTCATGTTATCTTTAAAAGACTATCTTTAATCATTTCTTCAATCACATCCTTTGCAATAAGAATCGAACTTGCTCTTTGAAAGAAGCGACTGTCATGAATGGCATTCTAAACACCCCCTTTAATTCCAGATTAAATTTCAAAACATTATGCAAAAGCCTAACATGTGACCAGCGAGTGGCGGTCTTACCCATTCCTGAGCTCCCATTCTGCTGTGGGGGCTTGCTGGCCAGTGGACTGGCTGCTGAGGCTGGAGAAGGAGCTACCTGCTGCTGCCCATGGCCTGAGGACAAAAGAGAAAGATCATTTTGGTGCAAATAATTTGGGTTAAAAGGCTGAAACTTAAGTAGAAGAAATACTCAAAGAAAACAGGAACCTGTGACTGTCAGAGACTCTCACTCATGGGTCGGACCCCACGCCGGGGCAGTCAACAGCATGCAGTGCGTGTGCTAGGGGCCCACTTTTGTCTTCATCACCTACAGGGCTGGCTCCATCTACCTTTCACCTGCTTATAATTAATAGCTTTCAGTTTTAATGAGGTTCTCCCCTAAAGCCTTGCCCATTTCTCTTGCATGAACTTGAAGTCAAGTCACTGGGCTGGATCTCTGACAATACCACTATTTCCATAGCAACAAATCGATGTCATCAACAGAACTGCGTGTTCACGGTGGGAAGAAAAAGCTGGGTGGTAAGAAAAACCTAAAAGCAGTTCAATTGTCTCTGAAGTGATCCTGCTTCAAAGGAAAAAAGACATTCAGAAAGGATTCTACCCTCTCCCTCCCAAACAAAGCCACCTTATTTTGCAACTGATGGTTGATGGAAAATAAGAGTTGAAAGAACCTCAGGTACCGTGAAGTGTCTGTGAACTGTCACAGCAGGAAGAGATGAGAATGGAGTTCAGAAACTAGGTGTGTGAAGGAAACAGGAAGATTAAAAGGAAAAGAGGAGAAATGAACCCTCTCAAGCAGAAAGTAAGAAATGCCAGACCATTAAGGTGTTTATTTGCCCCTCATCCTTTTGAAAAATGTTTATGAAGTTGAAAATGTTAAAATAGCAAAATACATCTAATTGAAAAAATATATAATAGATTTATGGAATTTTATTTTACCTTTGTAATTGGCACTAAAAATATACGTCAAGCTGGGCTGCTCATCAAGAGTGCTTGTAGCACAGGAGCGGAGCTCCAAAAAATTTCCTCGAGTGCCCGAGAACACTAACAGAGGGCGCCGCCGAACAGGCTCCCCTCCCGCCCCTCGGCCCTGCCTTCCCCCGGGACGGGGTCATTCTTGCTGGGTTCCCAAGGCCCTCACTCAACCGGGCCCGTGACACGCCAGGTGTCATGTCCTTCTGGCAATATTACCCCTCACTGGTCCGACTAAATGAGAGTTAACTAAATGACAGTTAACTGTGCCATTAGAGTGAAATTAATTTAGCATAAAATTGAAAAGGTTAAACAGAGTTGTTTATTCTTTAGTTCTTCTATTGGAGAGGAAAATCAAGGCCTCATTTACATAGGGAAAAAAACAGATTCTTGACAATGAGGTTCTGTGTTTACTTTTAGTTTTCCCACTGTCTCTGAATTTGCAAAGTGTCACAGAAATTGAATTGAAAGAACTGCTCTTCTTTTATAGTATGTTTGGAGAAAAAATATTTTGAACCTTTCGAAAAAATCGGTAGGGAAATCATGAGTGAACTTGGGGGAAAATGTATTTTCTCCCTGCTTCATGAAATGTATTCAAAAGAGTGAAGAGATTTAAACATTCAAAGATGGCACCACAGAAACACAGCGACCCCTGCTCTACTCCACCCCAGTTCCGCCCTCCCTTCCCGCTGTCGTCAGGACGTACAAACTCTCCAGTCCTTGTCTCATCAAATGCCTGCCTCTTCTAGTACATTGTTAACCAGGACATGGACATGGGATCATGCTCATCTCTTCTTACCTTTAATTTCTATCAAAATGTAACCAACCTCTACAACGTACCTAGAGCTGTCACTTTCTGAAAGACAGAAAGCAGGACTGAGTTAAGTGTTTCACGGGTAGAGAGTTTCGGTTTGGGACGAGAGGAGTTCTGAAGTGGTGGTGGCTGGCTAAGCATGTGATGTACCTAAATGCCACTAAACTACACACTTAAAAAATGGTCAAGGTATACTTTTTGTTATGCATATTTTACCACAATTTTTAAATGTAACTTAGCTATTTATCTATTCTAAGATGAGTATTTTTGACATTTTAACATAGGTATTAAAATTAGCGTGTTGTGTTCTTTTCTCTGCCGCCACGGAGCTGCGCGGAGGTGGAGGTTTGGGTGCGTTCGAGATTCGGCTCCACCCTTAACCCACCGCCATGGCCGAGGAAGGCAATGCTGCTGGAGGTGTAATGGACATAAATACAGCTTTACAAGAGGTGCTGAAGACCGCCCTCATTCACGATGGCCTGGCACGTGGAATTCACGAAGCTGCCAAAGCTTTAGACAGCGCCAGGCCCACCTCTGTGTGCTTGCACCCAACTGTGATGAGCCCACGTATGTCAGGTTGGTGGAGGCCCTTTGTGCCGAACACCAGATCAACCTAATTAAGGCTGATGACAATAAGAAACTAGGAGAATGGGTAGGCCTCTGTAAGATCGACAGAGAGGGAAAGCCGGTAACGTGCTCGGTTGCAGTTGTGTGGTGGTGAAGGACTATGGCAAAGAGTCTCAGGCAAAGGATGTCATTGAGGAGTACTTCGAGTGCAAGAAATGAACAAATAAACTTGGCTTTTGTTTCTAAAAAAAAAAAAAAATTAATGTGTTGCCCTGGCTGGTATGGCTCAGGTGTTTGGGGCATTGTCCCATGAATCAAAAGGTTGTGGGTCTGATTCCCAGTCAGTGCACACACCAGGGGCAACCAACTGATGGATCCATGTCACTCTCTCACATTAATGTTTCTCCCCCACCTCAAATCAGTAAGCATGTCCTTGGGTGAGGATTAAAAAAATATTAATGTGTTATAATTTCCTTGTAGTAGTACGTAATATAATGGTAATGTAATTATTGGATTCTTAGATTCAGTGAAGTAGACATTAATAATAGCTACCATTTTTGAATGCCTATTTTGTACCAGGTACAAGATTAAGTGCACTACTGCATTTAATCTTCAACCCTATGATATAGACAGTATTACTATACCCAATTAACAGATGAGGAAACTGGGTCACAGAAGTAACTTGCCCAAAGTCACACAGCTGGAAGAGGCAAAATGTCATGCTGCACCTAGATTTGTCGGACTAGCTTCATCTGCTTCACCATGTAGTTAACTTTTAATTGTAAGCAACCAATTGTGGCAGCCAAAACTCTGTAACTACATAGAATGTAACTAATAACCCTAGTATTTGGTAGCTGGGAAAAGTTACTAATTCATTTATCAGAACCATCCTCAACTCCTGCTTTGGTCTCCATTTGCAAATCTGGCACAGGACACAAGGGTCAGTCTCAAAGTAAAGGGATAGCAAACATCCCGGGGCACTGTAAACAGCACCAATTGTCCTTCAGTTTAATGCACCAGGACACAGATACAACTGCTGACCACAAGACATGAACAAAATTGGTCTATAGATAAATAAAAACCTTTCTAAAGTTTAAAATTATAACCCAGAGCAGAAATGTACAGACTCAACTTCTGATAATCTGTTTTTGCCACCTGTAAATCAAGCCATTTTGGTAAGAAGGATCAAGGTCATAATTCTTAAGGTGCTCTGTGCTAACGTCACATCCCTGGCTCTGACCCAGGAGGAAAATGGGATATTTAAAAGCAGATTCTAGTTCCTCCAGTTACTTGCACTCACACCTATCATTTTAATATCATTATAATGATAACTGAGCCACCAGCAGATAAAGATTAGGTAACACACAACGGGGTACAAAAACCTCAAAATCTACTAGTAAGCGCTTTCTTAATGACAGCTACAAAGACTATAAAGAAGAGTCAATCCAATAGTTAGAATTTCCTGTTGGCAGAAAATGGACAGAATTAGCCAGAAAAAAAAATTCCAACTAATGAGTAATGCTACTAAGTGTAAAAAATTAAGTCTATGTAAACCATTAGGGTTAGAAATAGTGTAGGTACAGAGAATATACATATTGATAAAAACATACAAGAGATTTAAAATCATCCAATCCAGTCTGGTATGAAACATGAATTGTGTCTGAAGTTTTATTTCTCACATCTTGAAAATTCTGTAAGTATCTTCATCTGATGTAGTACTAGTATCATAAGACAATTTCAGTGCACATTTTGCAACTTCTCTGCCAGTTTCTGGGCTAGATTTAGTCAATTAATTTTACCAGTCACTGGATTATGTCACATGTTCTGGGTTAGGTGCTAGGAGGATACAAACCTAGTTTTAGTTTTAGATACAAACCTAACTCTACCCAGTAATAACAGAGTTGCCTTGCTCTCACAATAGATAAGTAGAAAACATTTATTTGAAATACACCTGTAAGGTAGTAGTCATTGTAACAAAGCAACTTCTATTGTGGCCCAAGTAACAATGTGTTATTGATTTGGCTACAACGAAATTCAATAGCAAACAACTCTGAACAACAAGATCTTCCTCTCACCCCCCTGCACTTGAACAGATCCTGAAGAAAGGAAATAACCAGTGGAACTGGATTCTGAAACAAAGGACTTTTTCCCAGTTTTACAGTTCTAACCCTGAGCAATAATCTTTATCTTTATTTCAAATACTTTTGCCCCTGAAACACACAATGTCCAAAAAAAACCATTCAATTAAATATAACATAAAAAACATTAGAAATCAGGCAAAGGTGATGAAGTTGGGCACCATCCCCTCTGCTTGACCTTGCTACAGCATCCAACGATTTCAGAGGCGCTTTGCCTTAGATCTTCTCCCCAAAAGCCAAGAATACAATAAATCGATGTGCTCATTTTAACAAAACTTCACTAATGCAAAACAAATGTGATGTTCCAATTTAATATTTTAGAGCTTTACCTGAATAAGCTTCAGCTTTCCCTTTCTAATTTAAAGCACCAAATTACTGTTTTGTGTAGGTACATATGAAAATCTAGAAGGTTCCATTTCTGGAATAAGCATGGTGATGACTATCTAGTCCTAAATCTTCCCACTTCTCCTAAAAACTACACAGAACAACAAAGAGAATAAATACCCACCCCCCACTCAAACCCCCCCCCCCACAGACCACATCTTTTAGTGAAACTAGGGGATCGAGAAAACCCACAAATACCCAATTATGTGAAAGTGAAGCCCCGAACACCTCGAAGAAAGCACAATGGTAAGACATGGATGATTTAAATGTAAAAAATAAAATCACGCAAAGTACTAGAATAAAACATGCGTGAATGCCTTAACTTTGGAGTGAGGAAAACCTTTCTATCGCTTAAAAACCCAAAGTCATAATAAAATAATTGGAAACTTCAACTTCATAAAAACAAAAACATAGCTACATAGCAAAAAACACCAAAAGCATAGTCAAAAAGCCTTTGTAACTCATACTGGGAAAATGGATTGATCCCCTACTTTTTAAAGAACTCTTAGAAATTGAGAAAAGAAAGAAACCACCCAAAAGAAAAACAGACAATACAACAGTCAGTTCACGAAGAATAAAAGGCCCTTAAACATTTAAAGGGATGCTCACCTTTCTCAGGAGACAAAGTTAACTACATGGAGATGCCAGTTTTCATCTATCACTTTCGTAAAAATTCAGAACATTAACAACAGAGTGTGCTGTTAATGTTCATACAGCCAAACACAACTGTGGAGAAACCAGTGTTTTCATGCATTGCTGGTGGGAATGAAAAATGATACCAACCTATGGAGGGGACTGCAACCATACCTACTTACCTCTCTACCACATTTACCCGCCCCCCGCAGCAAACTCACCTCTGGCAATCACCCCCCCCTCCACCCATGTACCTGCATTTAGAAAGTTATTCATTGCAGTCGTGTTTTAACAGTGTGAAAACAACTCAAATATCCATCAAAGGACTGGTTAAATTACAAAGACACACAACAGAACTTGCTACAACCGAAAGGGTCAGGCCAGTTTCTGGCCCTCTGGACTGCTCCGGACTCAGCTGTCCCAACTCAAATGACAGCCCCGAGGCTTAATCGAAACTCTCTGACCCTCCTGTACCTGGAACAGCCCGGCTCTTTACCAAACCTGTTGTCCCGTCTCACATCCTGGAACTGAGGCACGGGCCTAGAAGAACAAGAGACTAACCCCTTCCCCCTATGCACTCACAAATCTCATGCTTTTTCTTTTAAAAAACCCCATTCCGGCCCCCCCCCCCGCCAGGAAGTGCAGCATCAAATAAAGGCACTTGGATCAGATCATCTGGATCGTCCCGCCTCTATCTCTCGTATATTTCTACAGTAACTGTTTTTTTTAAAAAGAGAAAGATCTCTAAGTATACATATGGAACTATCTTTAGGCTGAGACCTTTTTAAAAAGCAGAGTAGCCCGAGCTAGTGTGGCTTAGTTGGTTGCAGTGCTGTCCCGTAAACCGGAAGGTGGCAGGTTCGACTCCCAGTCAGGGCACACGCCTAGGTTGTGGTTTGATCAGTCTGTTTGGCGTAGGAAAGCACTCCCAACATCTAGCCGTAGAAGTGCCAGAAGTGTCAGTGTTGAGTAAAAAGAAAAACAGTGGGGAGGTTTCTTTAAGGAATCTAACCAATATTTCTTCAGTCCTGAAAAAAACTCAAGGAAGAATCTGGTTCCTAGACCCCCAACCAAATTGCTAGTTTTATTAAAACTAACAAATCAAATGGAACCCAAAAAGTAGAATTTCTGATCTGTGAAGAGGTATTCATCTGAGTGTTACAACCTATAAAAAGCATTTTACCTTCATTATAGGGCACTGGATTGCCAATCTTTACTCCAACTGCTTCTGCTGATTTCAAAACATTTAACTCCATCAAAATAACGACTCTCCTACAAAGTCAAAGAAACAGAAACAAGTTAGAAAAAATAAATTCACGAGCCCTTCAAATGACAAGCTACTTAAAAAGCTTTCCCCCAATAATCATTCTGATAAAACTATTTCCCTTTGTCAGCTGGTTTCATTGCTGAATAACTTGCAAAGTAGGTGATGGCAATTGCTACATAAATATTTCCCCTAATCTTTCACTGCATCATTATCAAGGCTTTTTATGATCGCAGGGTTTTCATTTCCCATCTAGTCCCTTAATTAAAATGCAGTGTCCCTGCTACACACCGTATCTTCACAGAGCAAATGACATAAGAATTTAGATTATTAAACACAAGAATATGTGGCACAAGACACGATCTGTTTTCAGAAACATAACACTTATCTAAACAATTACTTTTCCTGCTGGAAACCAATATGACTGTAGACATTTTTTAAAATGTAATTCTTATCTAAGAATATATAGTTCTTTGCCCTATTTTTAAAAATTCTGCTTAAAACCCTGTAATAACTTCCCAAGGGCCATAGGCCCCTCCAAAAAAACAAACACCCTCCCCTGCTGCCAAAAACACACACACAAAAAAAAACCCTCCAAGAATCGTTTGTGTGGCCTGCAGACTCCTTTCAGGTCCTGGTGATGTTACGCTCTCTCCTGCCACAGGGCCTTTGAGTATGCTGCTTTCAGATCGGGACGCCTTTCTCTTATTCTGTTTCATCCAATACACTCACTTTGATTAGGGAACCATTGGTTTAGGTCAGGTTTCTCTTACACCCTTTTTGATGGCCATGACTGCTTTTCCTCAGATCACTTCTCTCAGGTTTAATTAATATATATGAACATACAATTATTAACATGTAAAATGCTTGTTTGTTTGTTTATGCACACAGGGGTGGCCAACAGTAGGTTTACAGTTGTTCGTATGCAAAATAATACATTAATTGTAAAGATGAAGAAACTGCTTTGTGTACTCATAACTGTAAACCTACTTTGAAATTAAGGCTATAAATCATTACACCTATATTATTACCCTACTAACCACACTCAAGCAGGTAGTACCGGTACTTCTGCCCAACTCTACATTATCATTGTACATTCATTATTTGATTATCTATTTCTCCTACTAGACTGTACTTTCGATGAGGGTAGTTAATGCCACCACTGGTCCACAGTGTTGCCCAATACAAACTTGAATAAGAATGTAATGATCAGCCCTGGCTGGTGTGGCTCAGTGGATTGAGCACTGGCCTGTGAACCAAACGGTCCCCAGTTGAGGGCATGCAAGACCCAACCACACACTGATGTTTCTCTCCCTCTTTCTCCCTCCTTTCCCTTCTCTAAAAATAAATATATTTTTTAAAAAGACGGTAATGATCATGTCTGTATTCTAAAGAAAACTACAACATGAAAAAGGAATCTTAGGGGAACACAAGTGAAAGCAGGGAGACCAAGGGAAAAGAGCTGATGGTGGTAGCAGCGCAGAGAAAGGAAACATTTAACAAGTGGGTGGGTGGGGCACTGTGTCTACGTTCTTTAAATGGGCTGATAGCTGTTGTTTTGAAAATTATGTACGAATGATCAGTTCATGCTACTTTTACTAGCTTTCACATCAAGGTTATATTATTTCAATAAAATAAGCTTGAAACTATCTGTTCCTGCAAATTTAATACAGATACCCTATAAAAATTATCTGATATTTAGTAGTGGGTATTTAGTTATCTTCCAAAATTATCCAAATTATGCCAATGGAAGCTTAGAAATAACTTAGCATTACCCTAATACCAAAATCTCTTTTTAAAAAATATTTTACTTATTTATTTTTCGAGAGAGGGGAAGGGAAGGAGAAAGAGTGGGAGAGAAACATCAATGTATGGTTGCCTCTCATGCGTCCCCTGCTGGGAACTGGCCTGCAATCCAGGCATGTGCCCTGACTGGGAATCGAACCTCGATACTCTGGTTCGCAGGCCCGTGCTCAATCCACTGAGCTATGCCAGCCAGGGCCCAAAATCTTAAAATACTTAAAAAAACAAAACCCTTTTTATCTTATAATATATATATATATATCCTAAATAAAATGTTAGCAAAATGAATCCAGCAGCATATTAAAAGAATAAACCTTTCCCAGTTTACAGAAAACACAGATTAGAACACACTACGTCTTTATTGGGTTGCAACCAGTAACATACTGGTTTCTCCTCAATGTGTGGTTGCCTCTCACATGCCCCCTACTGGGGACCTGGCTCAAAACCCAGGCATGTGCCCTGACTGGGGATCGAACCTGAGACCCCTTTGGCTTGTGGGCTGGCGCTCAATCCACTGAGTCATACCAGCCAGGGCAGAACACTTTCATCACTCCCAAAAGAAACCCTGTACCATCCCCTGCCCCTGAAAACCATTAATCTAACTTTTGCGTCTGTGGATTTGTCTGTTCAGAAATAGAACTCTTACATAATGGTCATGAGTATGTTGCCTGGTATGCTTTCTCCAACAGATGTTCTTAATTCTAGTAATCTACTCAGAAATAATAGCATGAACACATAATATACAAGGATGGATGCTAAAGCCCTGTTTGGGATAAACCTAAATAACCATCAAAAAGTCAATAAACTAGGACATATGCATACAAGGCCCCAGCACAGGCAGGAAAGAATACAAGGCATGCGCCACCACGCTGAGGTGGTGGAATAAGGCAAAGCCCATGGGGGAGGGATTCTGTCCCTGACTGGAGAGAACGGAAGCCTAGGTTTTGTACTCAAGCCCAGCAAAGCTCTCCATCCTCTCCCATGACTATGCCCTAGAGGACACAAGTAGATAGAAAGCACACTTAAGTATTCAAAAGTAGCCTGGAGTAAAAGATAAGAGGTCCCAAGTGGGAAGGTTGGCAAGGAGATATACCTAGCCTCAATACGTCAGAACAAATATGAAGTCTGGACAGAATTGCCTGTATTAAGCACAAACAAGGTAAAAAAGAAATGCTGTGGCAACAATGTAACACACCAAAATGTATAAAGATGAAAAGGACAGAGGAGGCAGAGACAATGAAAGAATCTGGTCTAGAACATAAGCCAAGAAAGAGAATAATACTTCTCAAGAGTGGTTTGCAAAATAAATAAGACTAAGAAATCAATAAGTCACAAGGTGAGATAAAACAAAAGATTAAGAAAAAAGTGGAGACTAAAAAGCTAAGGAAAATTCAGAATAAAGGTAATACCATTATACGTCTAATAATTATAAACATCAAGGAAGAGAATAGAGACAGCCAAATACTGAACTACTATTATGTTGGAAAATCTTGAGGTTATCCAATGCATGCAGTATAAAAAAGATTAAGCAAACTGAAGATCTGCATGGAAGACAAAGGTATCCACAACGTAAATAAACTGGAACTCAAATGAAATAGAAAATAGCATTACGGAGTAACACACAGAAAAATATCATCAAACAGAAATAAATGAATCAGCAGAATGAAAGGGCATATCATGTCCCAGGGGCAAAAATAAGAACAATTGACAGTGAGACCGTTGTTCTGATTAAGTTACTGAACTGGAAACATAAAGAATTCTTTCATCTAATGCACAGAAACCATTCAAATTTCATCAATTCTCTCAATGATGTCCTTAGTATCAAAAGGATCCAGTCCAGAACCTCTTGTTATTTAATTATCACATATCTTTGGACTCCTTTAATGTAGAACAGCTTCTTTTATTTCAGGCTTGAGATTTTGAAGATCAGAGGCTGGTTATTTTGCAGAAAATCCTTCAATTCACTGCGGACTTCTCAGACTGGGTACAGATTACGCATCTTTGGCAAGAAAGTAATTGTAGTGAAGCTGTGTTCTTCTCATTGCATCCTATCAGGTAATACATGATTCCTATTCGTCCTGTTACTAGTAATGTTAACAACCATCAGCATAAGGTGCCGTCTTGCCAGTGTCCCCACTGTAAAGTTGTCATTTTTCCTTTTACAATCCAGTCACGTTTGTGGGGAGGTACTTGAACCCTATTATAACCTGTTCCTTATCACCCACTGTTTCAACATCTGTGCTAAGGCTTGAATGACTAACCACTCAAAAGATAGCCAGCCACCTCCTAACCCCTGGAACTTGTGACTATTACCTTACATGGCAAAGAAAACTCCTCATAGGTGTGATTGAGTTAAGGACTGAAATGGCGAGATTATCCTGGATCACCTGAGGAACCCTGAAAGCAATCACATGTATCCTTGTAAGAGGGAGGCAGATGCAGATTTGACACCAACAGAAGAGGCGGCAATGTGACCATGGAGGCGGAGAATGGCGTGATGCAGCCATAAGCCAATGCTAGCAATCGCCAGGAACTGGAAGAGGCAAAGAACGCATTCTCCCAGAGCTTGCAGAGAGTGCAGTCCTACCGACACGGTGCTTTCAACCCAGTGAAACCAACGTCAACTTCTGGCCTCCAGAAAGAATAAATTTCTGTTGTTTCAAACCTCCACGTTTATGGTAATTTGTCACAGGAAGCTTATATAGCACCTGCTGACCTTTCCTGAATTATTACTATGATGGTCACCAAATGGTGATACTCTATTATTCCTTCTACTTTTGTTAAATGGCCCTGGCTGGTGTGGCTCAGTGGATTGAGTGCCAGCCTGTGGACCAAAACATTAGGGTTCGATTCCCATTCGGGGCACATGCCTGGGCTGTGGGCCAGGTCCCAGCTGGGGGTGTGTGAGAGGGAGCCAACCAATGTATCTCACACATATCAGTGTTTGTTTCCCTTATTTTCTCTCCTTTCCCCTCTCTCTAAAAATAAATAAAATCTTAAAAAGTTCTGTTTTACCCATATATTCCTTTATTCAGTACGGACTTAGGAGCTCCCCTATTTGATATCAATAGGTTGTCATTTATTACTATACTCATTTTTGATTTTTAAAAATTATCCTAGAGAGTGTAAGACCCTGCAAGCTAGTTTCTTTGTCCTTTTGACACGGCCCCAGCTCCCTTTGGGCATTTCCTTACATCTCCCTGGAAGCCCTGGTTCCTGTCAGTGTAAAACGACATTCAGAAACCAAGATCTGAATGCTAAGCAGGCTCTTGGTTAAGGGGGTGTTGCTGCTCCAAAGCCCTTTCAGTAGAAAGATCTAGAGAACACACACACATGATACACATATGAAACGCAGGCAAACTGTTTCTGTATCTATGTATATCGAAAACCTTGAGCTTACTAATACCTCTAATTTCAATCCAACACCACAGATTTCTCCCTTGACTGGCTCCCACTGTCCTCAATATGTTTATTAGATCAAACTGCCCCCGCATGTAAGCAATCTCCTGTCGCCACCCCCACCACTGCACCCACAGACACTACCTTTCTCACGATGCTTGTGTCCTCAATCTGTGGTTCCTGGTCACCACCACCCAATCAAACAAGCACCCCCCTCTCAGCCCTTGCGTTCCGTCATCTCGGGCTGGGCCATCACCCCTCCCTGCCTTACCTGCCTGGACTCCCTCCTCGCCCCACTCACTCTCCAACCATCTGCTACTGCCCCTCCACTCCTACACCCACAAATGCCCTCTTTACTAGTCCGACTCAACGGCTGGTCAGACCCCCCTGCCTACCCTGCTGGGCTCTGACAGCCCACACTGGGCTGCGTGTGTTCTGCTCACCTGCTCTCACTCCAACATCCTGTGCCATCCCAGGAAGGCACGCTCCGTGCTCTGTGCTCTGACACCTGGCTCCAGGCCACTACCGCCACCCCTGCCTGTAGACATCTACCTTGCTCAGCTGCACCTAACAGCTGGGGGACTGGATTATTTGGGAAGGAAGAGAACAAGAATAACACAGTCGTGCGGCTTACCCAAGGGGCACGTTCTGAGAAGCGCGCCGTCAGGGGACTTTGTCATTGCGCCAACACCACCGGGCACACGCACACAACCTAGATGCTACAGCCCACTACACACCAGTCATTTCCACTTACAAACTTAAAAAAACTTTCTTTTACAATTCTATTTTGTAATAACACTTGGCTTAAAACAAACACATTGTCTAGTTGTACGAAAGTATTTTTCTCACTATCATGAAATATTTATTATTCACTACCATCATAGCAAAATGTTTCTTAGACTACAATGTATACAGATGATCGTGAGTATCTTCCCTGGCTTAGAACTTTAAAAAAATATATATGCACTTTACACTATAACAAAACTAGCAAGAAACAGGGCAGAATTAATCTACAATCCCATCACTTAATCAAATCAATGTTTCCATTTTACCCAGCCCCTTTTGGTCGCCTGTGGTCGGGTGCATCATGGACTGAGAATGACATCATGCGTGGGTAATTCACACTGGGCAATGATTGTCTCTTAACTGAACAATCACGTGACTTTTCATTAAAGAGAGCTAGAGAGACGACACTGTGGGAACAGAAATGTAACACCAATCTGGCAGATGATGCAGACCAGCCCGACCACTGAGTGTTCCCCTGCTGGCACGTTACGAAGTGCTGGCCACGGTGGTCTCCACGTCCCCTTTATGTATTAGGACGACACGTGGCAAACAGTTGGAACTCTCTCTCTGACATTTCACATTACTTACTGTATTATTTTTATTTTACTGACTTTATTGGGGTTACACTGGTTAATAAAATCATGCAGGTTTGAGGTGTACGATTGTATAACACATCATCTGTATAGCGTACTGTGTGTTCACCACCCCAATTCGAGTCTCCTTCCGTCACCGTTCATCCCTCCCACGCCCTCTTCTCCCTCCCCCCACCCAATATTTTCTTTCTTTATATCCTCATTCTATAAGCTTTTCCCTACTTTTAAATTTTTATTATTATTATTTTTTTTTTACTTTAAATTTTTGGTTAAAAGACGAAAACACACAAACGAGCCTAGGCCTCCACGGGGCCAGGATCACCGACGTCACTGTCTCCCGCCTCCACACGTGCCCCACTGACACGTGTGCAGGGCAGGGACACGCACGGAGCCTGCCATCCCCCAAGACCGCAAGGCCTTCTTCTAAAATACCTCCTGAGGGACCTGCCCGAGGCTCTTCCTCAGGAGGGCTCACTCTTTTCAGACCCATGTCCATGGTGGTTTGCTTGGTTTGTTTTTTTCCATCACAGAATTGCTGTAAGCAGATAATTCACCATGAACATTCTTCTCTACTAATAATAAAAACCTGTTGGTGTTGGAGTTCATGCTTTCAAACTTTTAAAGGAGCTTGTTGAAGTCTGCAAATCATCTGCTAAACCCTTCCCTACATTTTCTTGGGTGCTTCTATTTTTATTCTACAGTTTCCTTTCTCTTGCCTTTTCTTCAAGTATGCATTCACGTTCTGGCAACTCCTGGTTCCTCAGGAACCAGCTCCAGAAGCCCCTCAATGCCATCCTCATCCACACCCAGGTTAAAGCTGCTTGCCATCTCAGCCATGGCAGCGTTGATTTTTGCAACCTCCTCATCCTTGGCAAATTCTTTCAAGTCTGAATGAACCTCTTGAGTGTCTTCTTTCAGATGCCATTCATACACTTCCTGGTGGCAGCACCCCAAGCCCAAGCAAGGTTCTTGATGCAGTCATAAGATGTTGTAACCCTTCTAAAATTGTATTTTGGCTGCTGTGGCTCAGTGGATTGAGTGCCAGCCTGTGAACCAAAGGGTCACTGGTTCGATTCCCAGTCTAGGACACACACCTGGGTTGCAGGCCAGTCCCCAGCAGGGGATGCATGAGAGGCAACCATACATTATATTTCTCTGTCTCTCCTTCCCTTCCCCTCTAAAGATAAATAAATAAAATCTTTAAAAAACAAAACAAAACCACAACCTAAAAACTTGAGAAAACAGAATGAAAAGCCAGCCCTCAAGGAAAAAGCCACATTTTAGCAATGGTCACCCACGAGCGCATACCAGTCCTGCTCCTCACTGAGATCTCTAGCATGTAGCACCTGTAGTTACTCAACATCCTCTTCATTGGCTGCATGAAGCATTTACTGCCAAAGACTCAAAAAACGCAAAAAAAAGGGATACATCACATAATTTATTGTACCTTTTTTGCTCTGATAAGTGAGCTCTTTTTATTAAGATACTCTGAGAGAGAATCCTAAAAAACAGTGCTTCTGAAGAGATCAGAAACAGGAAGTGCTGTGCATTCTGCTTTAACCCCCTGCTCTGAAATCTCCAATATTTCTGTATTTCTCTCCCTTTGGTGCATGTTTCAGTTGAGGAAAGAATTCACTACTGTGAATTCTTAGCTGAGAGCTCACCACTGCCTTTAGGATTCCTAATTGAATTTTGGCATCCAGTGAATTGTTCAAAAATTAGCCCTCATTGTATAAGACAATAAAACAGAAAAACAAAATACCACATACCTCCCATCTTTCAGCGTGTTGACAATAAATCGGTTAATCTGGCAAATACAGTTGCTAGACAATTGTTCGTCTTCAACAAGAGGGTTCAACTGTGTTGCCAACATGAAAGCTGAAAAGCAGAGATTACTTTACTTTAGTCTCCAGAACATTTTAGCCGTGACAAGCTGAAGCTGATCACACCTGTTCTAGCAAAGGAAAATATGCCTTAAATACATTCCTGAAATTAAAACAAGTCAGACAGACTCTGCACAGTGAAAAACAGCAAAATTCTCTGTGCGTTAAACATCTGCTGCTACTCTAAAATATATGTAATTCTTAAAGTGCCCCAAACCATTTTTTTCCATCATTCAGGTTTCATGACAAAGACTAAAAAGTTTTTTCTAGGTCTTTCTCATTGTGACTAGAGATAGCAAGCAGATATTACACAAATTTTCTCCTTCCTTCCAGGTAAAGCTGCCAACCCAGAAGTAAAACACCATAAAGGCAAGTATAAGACAGCTAACTCATCACAGTCACTAAACGTCAATATCATCCTGAGGGAAATTCATCAAAGAAAACATACAGCACCAGTTAGGGAAAATTAATTAAGCCAAGTGGCAGCTTTTCACTAGATCCAGTCTACTGTTAGAATGCTCTCTGCCAACTGCAATTCTGCCTGAACGAACTGCATGGCCAAGCAAATGCAGACTCCCAGAATGCCCCAAATTATTGCAATTGAAATGTTGGGTAGGACGTTATCATTTAAATACCAACTTCCTAGAATTACACATCATACTTACAGGACAGCGTGTTCAACCCATCGCTCATAAGCAGTCGATAGCGGGGCGGACTATTCCCTGTAGTAATGGGACGAATGTTCTAGAAGAGAAAACTTGATTCATTAGCCAGGCTGTCTGCCCAGTCCCCAGGGGTAAATAAACCTAAGTGGCAGGAGAGCAGGCTTGACATTAGATCAGCACAGACTGAACCGCTCGCTCATTCTCTCAACACCTAAATGCAAGTGAAAGGAAATTAGATTTGCTGCCTGTCCCGCCAACCTCTCTCGGCTAACATCATGAAACACAACACGGATGAGAATAAAATGTTGCCAATCATCTTGTGTTCTCTCTTCCTTAACTCGAATTTGGTTGAAAATCAATTCTAAAAAAATGCGTAACAAAGTACCTAATACAGGCGAGGTGCTGTGCGGGAAACATGGAAGCGGAGAGACATGAGACACGTGTGCACATAATGACACAGGGCAGAGCCAGGACATTTACTCCAACTGGAAGGAAACCAGAGGCAGCTTTAACTGAAATATGTAAACAGGACCGTGAGATGAAATAGGCCTTGATGAGACTGGCAGCTAGTTTGAGAGTAACAGGGAGACGGTCAGGACTACCGATGCAGAATCTGCAGGTATAATCCATGATTCTGCTCCTACTGTTGTTTTGTTGTTTTTTTTTTTTTAATTCCCACTACATGTGAGAACCTGTGACAGAGTTAACAAAGCAATAAAGCAGATTTGAGCAAGACAAACCTAAGGGCAGAACGACAAGGAGACAGCTGTAACAGCGTGTAGCACTACAACATCCGCTAATTGTGGAAAGAAAAGAGAGGAAACCTCGGATCTGAATCTCCAGAGGTCTACTGCTGGCTAACGTAATACTTTTTAAAAAAATCTCAGTTCCTTTCTCAGGGTTTTAACATGAAGTGGCCTATTTTTTGTGTGACAATGGAGAGAAGTTGCTAAAGCGAACAAATCTTTATGTCCTTCATTATATGTAATTTATGAGTACATATAAGTTTAAAAACTGCTCGACATAAAATATATATAGGTACTTACAATGACTTGGAGGATGGGTTTTATGGATGTGTCTCCCTGTTGCATTATGGCCTAAAAGAGTAAGAACAGATTTTTGTGATATGCATTCAAATCATGATTAGAATTTGGCATTTTGTACAGCTTAGTATTTGGAATAAACTAAAGATAACACTGTTAAAAGTGCCTTTTTTGAGCTTATCGCTTGAAAAATTTATTTTAAGTTATGTCATGCTGGACAAATGATAAAGATCACAGTAAGATACGTGCTCATCAACAAGGACACACTCACTACATCTAAAATGCGGGCATCGTGCCCTGACCGATGTGGCGCAGGTGGTTGGGCATCATTCCGCGAGGCAAACGGTCGCCTGTTCAATTCCCAGTCAGGGCACATGCCTGGGGTGCAGGTTTGGTCCCCAGTCAGGGTGCGCTTGAGAGGCAATGCACTGATGTTTCTCTCTCACGTTGATATTTTTATCCCTTGCTTTCTCCCTCCCTTCCCCTCTAAAATTAAATAAATAAAATATTTTTTAAAAGTAAAATAAGCCCTGGCTGGCATGGCTCCGTGGATTGAGCACGAGCCTGTGAACCAGAGGATCGCGCGGTTTGATTCCCAGTCAGGGCACACACCTGGGTTGCAGGCCAGTTCCCAGCAAGGGACACATGAGAAGCAACCACACATTGATATTTCTCTCCCTCTCTCCTTCCCTTCCCCTCTAAAGATAAATGAATAAAATCTTTAAAAAAAAAAGGGGGGGGGCATTAAAAAAAAGTAAAATAAAATACTGGCATCACATATGCACTAATGCATAACAGCACATTAATTTCCCTGTAGTGCCCATTGTTAGGGAATTAAATAAACAAGTATGGTAAATCCTTAAAACCATATTACACACACTTAAAGAGAAGATGATGTTTATATAATACTGGTTGCCTCTTGTAAGGGGCACGAGGTGAGTGGTGCAGATACATGTGAGAGGCAGACTGTGCTACATCCTCTTCTGTACCTTCTGAATTTTAAATCTCCCGGCTCTATTAGCAATTATGAAAATAATTTCTAAAGAAAAGCAAACAAAAAACCCCGTATCAATCAGGTTTAAATTTGTTTTTAACAAGCCACCATTCAGCCCTAGCTGGCGTGGCTCACTGAAGTGAGTGTCAGCCTGCGAACCCAAGGACCGCCAGTTGGACTCCGGTCTGCGCACACACCAGGGTTGTAGGTCAGTCCCCGGTTAGGAGCCCATGGGGCACAACTGGCCGATGTTTCTTTTACACATCGGCGTGTCTCTTCCTCTCTTTCTCCCTCTCTTCCCTGCTCTCTAAAAATAACTAATAAAGCCCCCACTCAAAGGTAACTATCAGAAAAACTAACAACTGGTTGTCTGACCTCTGCTTCTGCCCATCCTGAAATAGATGATACCAGACTAGTTCTTCAAACATAAGCTAAAAAACTGGACAAAATATATAAACTGTTTTCAAATGCTGAAAATAGGTCAAGCAAAACTGATCCCTGAAAGAAGAGAGACAAATGAAGTGAGCCCTATGATCACTGGGGCTTACTCTCTGCACTTCTGGACCGCAGTGCAGGAAGGGGAATCTAAGAAGTTCCGCCAAGTACAGACCAGAGTTCAGGAAGATGTGTCAGCTGGATTTCGGGGACGCAAAACACTGGAGGGAGGACATACACAGAGAAGCTACAGTAACCTACACAAGGGACACCTTTGAGCCTTTGGCTGAATTCCAAGCTGTGCATATACAAAATGAGACTCCAAAGGGCCAGATGAAGAGTAAGTATTAAGAGAGCTATAACTTGAAAAATTACTGGAGCTTACACAAGCTATCATACACTTGTGTTCCAACAAGCTAGAGAACTCAATAAATATGATGCATTCAGGATTTCTGGTCAAGATGACAGCACAGGCAGACATGGTTTGCCTCTTCATACAACCACATCAAAATTAATATACAACAACCATCACTCAGAACTGTCAGAAATCAAGTTGAATGGAAGTCTGACAATTTCGGAATTTCAAGAAATCACCGCCATCCAGACATGGAATGGGCTGGCCCCTCACCCACATGTGGTGCATAAAAAATGGGAGGGGTATCTTGGGGGCAAGGACCCCTATCCCAGGGTTCCAGTACCAGGGAGGTAAGTCCCCACAACTCCTGACTGTAAAAACTAGCAGGGGTTGAGCTGGTAGAAGAAACCACTAGAGCCCCAAGCAGTTCCTCTTAAAGAACCCACACACGGACTCACCTACACAGACTCACCCACTCTGAGCTCCAGAACTGGGGTAGTAGCCTGAAAGTCACCAGTGGCATTCTGGGACAAACTTAAGTGTCTGGCATAAAGGCAAACAGAGGCCATTGTCCTTTTTCTAAACCCTCCCCCCACAGAGCAGGCAAGCAGGTGCCATATCTGAGACTCCATCAACCTGGCTAACACTGACCTGCCTTAGAGATCCCCAGAGACTCTGCACCACCCAACTTATGGGCCTACCCAAACTACTTTTCCATATGAATGGTTGGTCTTGGTTCATGCTTCACAACTTCTTTTTTTTAAAGGTTTTATTTACTTATTTCTAGAAATAGAGGGCAAGAAACACCAATGTGCAGTTGCCTCTCACATGCCCCTCACTGTGGACCAGGTCTCCAACCTAGGCATGTGCTCCAACTAGGAACAGAACCATGAGCCCCCTGGTTTGCAGGCCAGCACTCAATCCACTGAGCAACACCACCCAGGGCTGTTTAACAACTTAAATCCTCTCAAACAAGCAACAGCTGGCCTCACTGAGAACCAGGCCTGGCACAAGCAGCAGCCAACCCACTTTCATAGTTTGGCTTCACATGGGAATCTCCAAGCCCAGCACAGGTAGCAGCCATCTCAGATTACTTTATAGCTGAAGCAGAGTGGCCCCAGGCAAAACACAGGTGGGGGCTGACTTTGGCCTGTACCACCCAGGAAACCCCAGGGCCAGCGCACCCAGTGGACAGCTACAGACCAGGTCAGAGCACTACCACCCTGCCCCTGCACAGCTGATCCTCCATGAAGGGCAGAGGGTAGTGGAAAGTGGTCACAGCCAGTCCTTGCAGCTGAATGGCCTGGGTAAATCCTTCCCATTGACCTGCCAACAGCAACCAAGGCTCAACTACAAGAGGAGGGTGTACTCAGCCCACACAAAGGGCGCACCTCAAGTACTCAGCCTGGATGATAGGGGAGGCTGTGCCACTGGACCCTACAGGACACCTACTACATTAGGCCACGCCACCAAGACACGGAGTCAAAGCAGCTCTACCTAATACATAAAAACAAACACAGGGAGGTCACCAAAACTAAGAGACAAAGAAACATGGCCCAGATGAAAGAACAGATCAAAACTCTGGAAAAAAACAAAATGAAGATAATCAATCTATCAGATGCTGAGTTCAAAACACTAGTTATAAGGATGCTTAGGAACTTAGTAAGCACTTTAACAGCATAAAAAAGATCCAGTCAGAAATGAAGGATTTACTAACTGATATAAAGAACTTACAGGGAAACAGTAGAGTGGTTGAAGCCAAGAATCAAATCAATGATATGGAACATACGGAAGAAAAAAACAAATTAGAACAAGAAGAAAGGAAAAACCCCCAAAATGAGGACAGTAAAAACAGTCTCTGTGACAACTTCAAGAGGTACAATCTTAGCATCATAGAGGTACCAGAAGGAAAAGAGCAAGAGCAAGAAATTGGAAATCTATTTGAAAAAATAATGAAAGAAAACGTCCCTAATTTGGTGAAGGAAACAGACATGCAAGTCCAAGAAGCACAGAGTCCCAAACAAGATAAATGCAAAGAGGCCCACTCCAAGATACAGTATAATTAAAATGCCAAAGGTTAAAGATAGAGAAAACTTAAAAGCAGCAAGAGAAAAGCAGTTAGTTATCTACAGGGGAGTTCCCTTAAGGCTGTCAGCTGATTTCTCAAAAGAAACTTTGCAGGCCAGAGGGACTGGTAAGAAGTATTCAAAGTCACAAAAAGCAAGGACCTACAGCCAAGACTGCTCTACCCAGCAAAGCTACCATTTAGAATCAAAGGACAGATCACCAAACCAATATTATATGAAATGTTAAAGGGACTTATTTAAGAAAAAGATTGCCAGATAGGAGAGGGGTGTGGGGGAATGGGTGAACAGGTGAGGGGATTAAGAAGTACAAATAGGGCCCTGGCTAGTTCGACTAAGTGGATTGAATGCTGGCCTATTAACCAAAAGGTCATGGGTTAGGTTCCCAGTCAGGGCACATGCCTAGGTTGCAGGCCAGGTCCCCGGTAGGGGGTATACAAGAGGCAATGTTTCTTTGACACGTGGATATTTCTCTCCCTTCCACTCACTCTAAGAAATAAGTAAATAAAGCTACAAACAAATAAAACGTGTCAGCATAAATACTGAATATAGCCATGGCTGGTATGGATCAGTGTATTGAGCGTCGGCCTATGAACCTAAAAGTGTCTGGTTCAATTCCTGGTCAGGGCACATGCCTGGGTTGCCAGCCAGGGCCCCAGTTGTGGGCATGGGAGAGGCAACCAGTCCATGTCTCTCTCACACACTGATGTTTCTCTCCCTCTCTTTCTCCTCCCTCCCTCTCTCTAAATATAAATATATAATATCTTTAAAATAAATAAATACTCAAAAAACTGTACTTGAAAAATAACTAAATAAAATTTAAAATAAATACTGAATATAACATTTTACTCTTCTAGGACATACAGCATGATAAATACACTTAAGGTAAAACTGCCATAAACTTTCCAAATTAACATTGCTAATAATAATACAAGGCAAGAGAATGTAATAGTGAAGGGTACATGTGTTTGAAACCTCACTCCATGAACAATGTAACTCCTTTGTACTTTTTAATTCCTTCATCTGTAAAATGGGGGTAATGATAAAACCTACTTTACAGGATTACTGTAAGCAATGACTAATATAAAGTATGTAGTGCATTGGAAATGGTCAAAAATACCAGATCCCTTCATCTTTCTTTCTATTACTCAATTACCTAAGCTACAAATCCTACTTAGTCTATTTACCTCAATGGTTCCATGCCTTATCTCTTATTTCACGTTAGCTCTAGGCTAAAATGCCTCTACTATTGGTTAGTTGCTTACCCTTTTGGGCCTGTGTCTTTTAAATTAAAATACTACTTGCTTTAGCTACTAATCAAATTGACAAAGGTTCTCCATATCTTGTCATCATAAATATAAATATCTTACCTAACACTGGAAATATGTTTCTAAAATTTTGAATATAGCAAAAAACGGATCAAATGATTTATATTTACATAATCCCATGATCATTCTTTTTTTTAAAGTGAACTATTTCTAATTATTTTTCTATCCCCCTAATTTGTCTTAAGGTGCAAGGTGACAGCTATAAAGTAAATGAGGACTCGAACTGCAATCACTTCCCAGGTCTACTTACTTCTAATTTACTCAAATATTCACTAACCCCACCAACTATTCTTCCCATCCCCATTTCCCCCACGGCCCTTTCTTTTCATTGCCTGATGTGCAACTAGCAAACGTTTATTGGGTCCCAAAAATGTGCTGCCACTGCCTCAGGAGTTGATACAGGTATCCCATACTATGTTGAGAAAAACAAAACAAAACAAAACAAAACAAAACAAAACAAAACAAAACAAACGAAAACACCAACATAAAAGAATGTACAGTTCAGCGGGGGGAATAGAGAGTAACGTTAATCACATCAAGAAATAAATGTAAAAATGACATCTGTGATTATCAATAATAGGTAACAGGTTGAGTATTTAGTATGTATCAGGTAGCAAGCACTTTAACTCACTTAATCCTCCCACTAAACTTAGGTAGTAGGTAGTAGGTATCATTACCCTCATTTTAGAGAAGAGGAAAAGCAGAGCTCAGTGTCTTGCCCAAAGTCACATAGCTAATAAGTGAAGAAACAGAAATGAGGGTCTCAGAATCAAGGGACACAGGCTGGTAAGGGAAGACAAGGCTTCTCTGAGGAAGTAACAACTGAGTTGAGGTGTGAAGATTATGACAGCCAGTGAGAAAAACCACCTAGGCAGTAGGAGGGGAAAGAATGATGGAAGACCCCCTGGAAGGCATGAGTCTGGAATATACCAGGAATTAAATTTTTTTTAGGAAACGGCTGGAAAGGAGGAAATAAGTTGGGAATGTTATGATGGAAATGGCAGGAGGAGGGTATGCTGAATGGAAGTGAGTGACCCAAGCAAAAAATGATGGTGCAGTGTGGATGGAGAGTAGATGGAGTTAAGAGATATATGTAAAGTAAAATACATCTGACTTGGTGATGGACTGGACTTTCAGGGTGACAGGAAGAATGAGCCCTCAATTATTGTCTTGCATAACTTAATGGATAATGGTACAGTAATTCATCCTGATAGAGAACACCAAGAGGCCCTCATATAGGAAGATAAAGGATTTGCTTTGGGACGTGTTGAACTTAAAATGCCTTTGCACCCTGGCTGGTGTGGTTCAGTGGGTTGAGCACCAGCCTGCGAATCCAAAGATCACGGGTTCAATTCTCCTTCGGGGCACAAGCCTGGGTTGCAGGCCAGGTCCCCAGTTCAGGGAGGGGGCAAAAGGCAACTGATCCATGTTTCTCTGGCATATAGATGTTGCTTTCCCTCTTCCTCTCTCCCTTCCCCTCTCTCAAAAAGTAAGTTAAATCTTTTTCTAAATAATATTTTATTTATTTATCTTTAGAGGGGAAGGGAAGAAGAAAAGGAGAGAAATATCAATGTATGGTTGCCTCTCGTGAGTCCCCTGCTGGGGACTGGCCTGCAACCCAGGCATATGCCCTGACTGGGAATGCAACCGTGATCCCTTAGTTTGCAGGCCCACACTCAATCCACTGAGCTACACCACCCAGGGCAAATCTTTTTAAAAAATAAAATAAAATGCCTTTGCAATATCAGGTAGACAGGTAGATTATAGAGGTTTGTCTTTTCATAGTTAAAGTCCTCCGGACAAAGAAATCTGTGAGCAATTAACATAAGACTCTCTCCTAAGAAAAACAGTCTAGAACTGAGCCTTGAGTCAACAAAAATTTACAAAGAGGGAACTGCAAATAAGATGGGGAGAGACCAACCAAGCTGAGCCACATGAGCCAAAAGTGTCACCAGAAGGAAGCAAAGCTCAAAGGACTGAAAGTCTAATGAGAACTCTGGTAAACTGATAACTGCAAAGTGTCTGTTGGATTTAGCGACTAGGAAGCACTGCTAACTTCGGCCACAGTTGTTTCTACAGTGATCGGGGGGTGAATAAATGGAGTGAGTTCAAGGGTTGATAGGGGGTAAAGAAATGAAATAGCTGAAAACAACTCTGGAGAAGTCTGGCTGGGGAGGGGAGACACAGTGGCCGTGGGTGGGAGATGAAGAGGGAAAAATCAACAGTTTATTTGTTTCGTATTCTTAAGCAGGGAAACGTAAGCATGTTTAAAAGACAATGGAAAATTTCTTGCAAGAAAAGGGTGTTGATTCTGGGGAATGAACCGGGCCGTTCCCCCAGTCCCCGCTATCTCCTACTATCGCGTTCTCTCCCCACTGCCCCCAGCTCCTCTCCGCCTTCCCCTCTGCTCACAGCCCCAAGGCCCAAAGCCACCCCAGGTGCCCGGCTCAGCTCGCAGGCCCCTCCTCACCGCAATGGCCCCTTCGCTCAGGTGGCCCACCATGGCTCCGCCGCGCCAACTCCCGCGTTTCCGATCCTGGAGACACGGGCTTCACTGCCGAGGTCCGGCGCGCTCTAAAGCAATTGGCCGGAGGAGTTGCGTACGCCATTTCCGCCTTCTGACGCGTGCACCGAGAAGAGGCGGGCCTAGGGGCTGAGCAGCCACCGCATTGGTCGAGGTCGCACGAGTGGCCCACTGGTCCCTCCCGAATACAAGTTCGCGGCAGAGTCGCGGGACCGGTCTGCCGGAACGCGGGGAGCTAAGCTGTGGGGCGCGTCGAGGGTGACGCGATCGCTGCTGCGGGCACTGCAGAACTAGTTCCGGGAGTTTTGCTAGCGGGTTGTCGGAAACAGGCACGGCTCGGTCTTTCGCTGGCAGACAGCGTGGTAACCCAGAGTCAGAGCTAATAACCCTGAGCAGTGACTGCGTCCTGAGCGTATATCACACTGAGTGTTTCTGAATATAAATAAAACCCGGTTCCTGATCTCAGAAGAGAGCACGGTTTGTCCAGGGAGTTCCCACTGTAAGTAGGCCCACCTCAAGGTAGACATGGTATAAACCCCAGAAACGGGACTAGTGTGCTGGAATCACACAGGTGGGAAGTCAGAGAAGGCTTCCCGCAGGAGGTGCCATTTGAACTGAGTCTTGAAGGATGTGTGGAAATTTGCCCTGTGTTCTCCAGGTGAGGGTTGAGATGCCCCCAGAAGAATGAGTAGCCAGCCTATGCAAAGACTAAAGAGATGAATAACCTGGGAAGCTGAGGATAGTTTTGAGTAGCTCAGCATAGTAGGTTACGGAGCAAAAGTGATATTTGATTATTAGAAAGTAAGCCAAAGGTCAAATAATAAAGGGCTTGCACTGGGCTTTCCTAAATGCCAGGTGGAGTGTTGATGCATTTAAGGCAGAAGGCTGACATCTGTCTCAATGTGGAGGATGTATTGATATTGGGGGATGGGGTGAAGGACTGAGGGCATGAAGTCTAGTTATGACACTCTGGAAACAATGCCAGACAAGAGATGGTGGGGTCTTGAATTAAAGGGTATTGAAAGAAAAAACTATCATGTGAGAGATAGAAATTTGTTAACTTAATAGTTGCTGGGGAGAGGGAGAAAGAAAAAGCTGGGATGTCCCACAGGTTTCTGACTTGAGCAACCAGGATAGATGAAGGTATGAGGACAGGGACGGTAGCTGTCTAGTTACCTGCCATGGTTCCTGGAACAGGATAGGCTTTCAGTAAATATTTCTGAATAAAAAGACAGTTGAGTGAATTGGTATGAGAGAATATAGGTCCTTCTTCAGTGTATAAACAACTGTTGAAAAAGACCACAAGAATTTATTTTGTTTCTTCATGCTTGCTAGAATGAAATCTTGATTTTCTGGAATTATACATTTGTAGGAATCTGAACTCTTTATATTCTTATTCATTTTATAGGTATAAAGTAGCATGGACCTGCCTGTGGATGAGTGGAAATCATACATACTTCAGAAGTGGTCTTCACTCCCAAAGTCCATTCAGGTCACAATTTGTACAGCAGAGACTGTGAGTGATATCTTTCTTCACTCCTCTTCGCTTCTTCAGTAAGTGAATGGAAGCCTTACCCAGCGATATTTTAATCTAGAAAACGTTACTGTTATATCCACTGGACGCGAGAATAATTTTCGAAGACCTTTCAGGGTTTTGATCTTATTTAATTGGCCAAGCTTAACCTGTGCAGGGGTGAACTCTTGGGGTGTCCAGAGACATGGGGCCCAAAAGGTCTGCAGATGAGAGCCGCCCCGAGCGCTTACAGCTAAGTCCTTATATAGGGACGAGCAAGCAAGCAAGCGTTGAACAGAAGCAGATGTGGCAGTTAGCTATTTGCTGACAGAGACTGAGAACAGGGGCCTGCGAACAGGGTGGGGTTTCAAAATTCAAAACTAAACAGATTACAATCAGCCTGTTTTGCTGTGGTCAGGCTATGTTCTCAGTTTCCCAGATCTCAACATTACCATTTGACATTTGCTCTTAAGTTATATCTCTTTTTGATGGAAGGATTAAACTTAGATTTTTATATTGTATTTTGGGGCATTCAGCAGTTCTTACTATTTTCAGTATCTCCTAAGCTACTATTGTAGAAGAAGTAAGGACGCTATTTAGCTTTTTCAGTTTCAATAATTGGTGCCTTGCTATAATCACTAGACTGTAAATTTTGCCATCTCCCAAAGATTGTAGTGGAGATTTACTAGCTGCACATGGAAGTTCATAGTGCTCAAATTTGGAAAGGACCTTAGAGGTTTAACCCAGTATTTTCAAACTCTCATGACTATACTCTTCTCTAAGAAATATTTTACATAACAACATAGTATACATACATACATACATACATACATATATATATATAAATAAAACTAAAACAAGAGTTTCTCACAACTTCAGTGAATTTTTTAAAAGATTTTGTTTATTTATTTTTAGAGAGAGGGGAAGGGAGGGGGAGAGGGAGAGAAACATCAATGTGTGGTTGCCTTTCACACACCCCCTACTGGGGACCTGGCCTACCACCCAGGCATGTGCCCTGACAAGGAATTGAACTAGCAACCTTTGGTTCATAGGCCAGCAGCACTCAATCCACTAAGCCACACCAGCCAGGGCCATTCAGTGAATTTTTATTGAGCCTGTTTTGAGCCATAAAAAGGTCAACTCGCAGATTCTGGAAGCTTAGCAAATCCCAAACAGTGTAAACATAAATAAACCTTCAGTTCGCAGGCCAGCACTCAATCCATTGAGCCACACCAGCCAGGGCTGTAAACATAAATAAAAGCACACTTAGGGACAGCCAGCTCAAACTGCCAAAAATTAAAGAAAAAAAGAAAATCTTAAAAACAGTCAAAGGTAAAAGATGTTACTTTTGCTAGACTAAAAATAAGACAATGGCTGATTTTTTTAAATGAACCTATGGAGCCAGAAGACAATTGGATGGCACTTTTAAAGTACTGAAAGGAAAACAAAGCAAAACAAAACCTGCCAATCTAGAACTCTGTACCTAGTGAAAACACCTTTCAAAACTGAATGCAAACTAAAACATTTAGAAGAAAGACGCGACAACAATAAAGGGAAGGTGGGTAAATGGAGTTACGTTGTTGTAAGATTCTTATATTGTTTGGGAAATGGTGAAAGAACTAACTGGAGATAGTAAGAAATCAGGGATTTACTTTGTAACCTCTAGGGTAATCACACAAAATATATATATATAAATTTATAATCAAGTCAATTCTCCCCCTTTCCTTATATGTTAGGCAGAATGATGCATCCCAAGATGTATTTCCTAATTTCAGGAATTTGTGACTGTGTTACACAGTAAAGAAGAATTAAGGTTGCAGATTTGCCAATTTTAAGATAGAGTAGCCTAGATTATCCAGGTAAACTCAATGTAATCACAAGAGTCCTTAAAGGTGTAAAGAGGAGGAAGAGAAGAGTCAGAGGAAAACCTGACTGTGGAAGAACAGTTAAAGAGAGGCAACATTGCTGGCTTTGAAGATAAAAGAAGTCACAGCCAAAGAATGCAGGCAGCCTCTAGAAACTGGAAAATGCAAGGAAACAGCTTCTCCCCAGAACCTCCAGGACACACTGCATTCCTACCAACACCTTGATTTTTAGCTCATGGAGACCCATGTTAGACTTCTGCCCTTCAAACTGTAAGATAAATTTTTTGTTTATTTTAAGCCACTAATTTTGTGGGAATTTGTTATAGCGGCAACAAAACAAACTAATACACTCCCTTCACTTCCCTAATTCAAATTACTGTCAGTAGCTAGACCATTACAATAGCTTCTTAATGGTTTCTCATCTCCATCCTTGCCTTACTCCAAACTATTTTCTATATCACTGTAGGAATTATTCATCAAAACAAATCAGTTTTATTGATCTTACTCAAAATCGTCCAGGAGTTTTTTCTTTTGCCCTCAACATAAAGACTAAAATTCTTCGCATAGGTAGCCCATCAGACACGGCAACCTGACTACTGCATGTCTCTCTGACCTCCTCTTTACCACAGTCCCCTTTCAGACATATTGGCCTTCTTTCAATTCTTTTTTTTTTTAAAGATTTATTTATTTTAAGAGATGAAAAGTGAGGGGGAAAGAGAGGGAAAGAAACATCATGTGTGAAATATACATTGATCAGTTGCCTCTCTCAGGCCCCCAACTGGGGACCCAGCTCGCAGTCCAGGCATGTGTCCTGAATGGCAATCAGACAAGCATCCTTTTGGTTGGGAGGCCGGTGCTCAGTCCACTGAGCCACACGAGCCAGGTGGCCTTCTTCAAACTCTCGATACACATCGTGTTTCTTCATTCCACGCGGCCTTCACTTATTTCTTCGGACTGAAATGCTTTTCCTATCTCCTCTCTACTCCATCATGCCCTAAGAATGAATTCATTTCTGCTCATCTTTCAGGATCGACCAGATCTTTCCTCAAGAACCCCAGGTGGGTCATCTTCATTTTTTATACATTTACAACACTGCATAACTTTCCTTTTGTAGTTGTGCAGTCATTTGATTAATGTCTGTATTCACTACTAGACTATACACTCCTAAAGGCAAGGACCTTGTCAGTCTCATTGCTGGTTCAATTCCCAGTCAGGGCACATGCCTGGGTTGCAGGCCAGGTCCCTAGTAGAGGGTGCATAAGAGGCAACCACACATGGATGTTTCTCTACCTCTTTCTCCCTCCCTTCCCTTCCCTTCTCTAAAAAAATTAAATAAATAAAATGTTTTTTAAAATTATATGTAAAAAAGAATAAAAAATTAGCACTCCATCATCTAAATAGAAATTCCAGTCCCTGTGTCTCTGAGACCACAAGCTCCCCCCTCCGCACTCATCATATTACATAAAACCTCATGTGTCCCAATGTTTTGCAGACCATTGGTTTTAAGTGGAATGGGTAAGAGCGTTCCTTGAAATAACATTTATGCTCTTTTTGTTTCTTTCTCCCTAAAGACCTGAAGATGAGATGGTTTTAAAAGAGCTTTCTAGAGGTTACCTTGTAGAAAAGGACCCTGATGCTCCCCTTTTTTACAAAGCAGAAGGAAACAAAAAGTTCCAG